GAGTGCAGACGTTCTAAAGTTATGGGCTTTTGGCCTGATATGTTTGGCAGCAATTCCTTGGGCCTCGTGGATTGCAGAATGGCCCTAACATTTCTTTTTTAAATATGTGTGCAAAGGTAATCAAGAAGCGTCCAACGACATATATTTAGGGGTTAATACTTAATACCTTGTTATGGCCTGAACTATGACCATGTAATCAACTTTGGCCAGTGGTTTGAGAAATTAACATCCTGGCCCGATCTATGCAGCATATTGACAAAATTGGCCTGGAGCGTGGTTTGACCGTTTGTTTGGACGGTCAACACCGTTGACCGTTAGTCAACTGTCCAGGTCACTGCCATGTCAACATAAAAAAATTACAATTTCATTTTTCTTTTTATTTCATTTACAAAAATTGAATAATTAAAAAAAAAACAAAATTCAAAAATTTTGCCCCACCCATCCCCACCTTATCCCCTCACCTTCTTTCCTTTTCGATTAAACCCAACCCTATTTCATCTTCTTCCTCCTTCTTCCCCGACGAGCCGCCGCCTCCATTCCCTCCGACGAAAACAAATCCCTTCTTCCCCAACACAGAGCGACTCATCGGCGATGGAGGTTTCTGTGTAGCAGGTACTGCTAGTTGTTGTGTAGATTCCAGAAAGGGGAAAAAGGAAAAACAAAAACTGGGGTGAAGAGAGAGATCCTGAAAGTGGATTCATCTTATTAGTTTGTTACAGACTTGCAGCTTAGCTAGCATATATGGTCCCCTCGCCTCCCCTCCCACTTTGCTTTTTCTTGTAGATAAAATGGAAAGAAGAAATAATTCAGAGCAAAAGAAGAGATCTTCTTCTTCTTGTTTGTACTGGCTGGCAGGCTTGGGATTGCAGTTGCAGCCTGCAGGACTAGCGGCAGCGGCAGCGTGATGATTCCAACGATCGTGGCGAGGAAAATTGCGAGGAGCTGCCACGCCTGCTTGGTCACTCCTTCCGGTACGGGGACGAACCAGAGAATGACTCCTGTAGCGATCGAGGCCAGCAGCGGCTTCATCGCCGCCCCTTGCCATGGCTGCACCGGGGCTGGCGCGGGCACCGCCGCGGGAACGGGAACTGGAGTTTCGGAGGAGGATGCCCGGATTCTGAAGGTGCGGAGGGAGGCATTAGATTTGAGGAGGCAGGGAGTGGCGAGGGGCGAGAAGGAGAATCTTCCTCCGGCGGCGACGGAGGCGGAGGAGGAGAGGGAGGGGAGACGGGACGAGAGGCGGGCGGCGGATCTGAGAGTGGGAGAAGGGAGGCGGCGGGATTTGAGAGAAGGGAGGGAATTGAAGGCGAGGGAGCAGGAGGAGGAAGTGGTCAAAGCGAGAGACGCCATCTGGCGGTGGCCGCAACGGCGGCGCGGCGGCGGAGGTTCAGAGGGGGATGAGTCGCTCTGTGTTGGGGAAGAAGGGATTTGTTAAGAAGGAGGAAGAAGATGGAATAGGGTTGGGTTTAATCGAAAAGGAAAGAAGGTGAGGGGATAAGGTGGGGATGGGTGGGGCAAATTTTTTTTTTTAATTATTCAATTTTTGTAAATGAAATAAAAAGAAAAATGAAATTGTAATTTTTTTATGTTGACATGGCAGTGACCTGGACAGTTGACTAACGGTCAACGGTGTTGACCGTCCAAACAAACGGTCAAACCACGCTCCAGGCCAATTTTGTCAATATGCTGCATAGATCGGGCCAGGATGTTAATTTCTCAAACCACTGGCCAAAGTTGATTACATGGTCATAGTTCAGGCCATAACAAGGTATTAACCCTATATTTAGGCACGAAATATCGATAGTATGTCATCCCAAGACATCTAATAACCCTTCAAGACAATCAACCAAAAAATTGGCCTTTCTATAAATATGAGTGATCCTAACTAATTACTCACGGCGTAGCAGAGCATGAAATTAGGGGCGACAATAGATCGGGTTAGGTTGAGTTTTGTCAAACCCGAACCCAAATCCATGGGTATATCTAGCAAAAAAACCAGGGGTAAAATCCAATGGGTTTGGAAAACTCAAACTCAATCCAATCCACTGGGTATCCACGGGTTCATGGATGGGTTCTATAAATGCACAATAACTTCATGTTAAAATAAAAGTCTAATACCAATCTTCCTATACAAATTATTCGTAAAAATAAACACTAATCTAGAGCATACAAGCAAACCACAAACTATCCATATCAAATTGTTCAACATCAAAGATAAAACATCCATAAAACAACATAATTAATTGAAAGCTTATTCCTCCTTGTCAACTAAACTTCTTCATTTTTTCACTCCATAATATCAACTTCCTCAATACAATTATGAAGAATAAATTATACGGTATGAGTTGGATATGGGCAAAACCCGAATCCAACCCCGCAAAATAGCAGAACGGGTTTAAAGCATGGTAAAGGAAACCGTACCGGACATCATACCGGATTCCTGTCTGGTATGGTATTTTGTGGTACGACCGTGGTTCAACCGTTTTGTACCGGTAAATACCGTTTTTGTAATAATCAAATATATTTTTTGTCAAAAAACCGTGTCGGCAAAATCAGAGTACCGTTCCGGAGTAAAACCGGAATAATATCGAATATACCGGATATAAAATAATAAAGTATCAACATAAAAGTTATAGGTATATAATGAAACAACTTCATATTGCAGGGACTAAACATATAATATAATTTCAGGTATCATGCAATAATTTTCCAACTAGAAAAGGAAAACCCTTCGTCTACTCTATTCCAATTTCCAATTTCTAGTAGTACTTTCTCTCCACTCTCTCTCCATTTTACGAATTCCAATCTGCTTCTCTCTTCAAACAAAATCTGCTTCTCTCTTCAAACAAAACCTCCCGCCCGCTCAGCAACTCAGGTCAGCAGATGTCGATGGCGTTCAGGGGAGGCAGACGCGTGCCGGTGCCGGAGACGCGTCGCGGAGCAGCGGCGGAGTAGTGGCCAGCAGAGGAGGGAGAGGAGCAGAGGCCGGAGAGGAGCAACGGAGACGCGTCGCGGAGCAGCGGCGGAGGAGGAGCGCAGTGAAGGAGGAGCTCAAAACCCAGGAAGCCTTGCCACCGGTCGATGGTCACGGGCTCGGCGTTTCTGGTCGCAGCCTCGCCAGTCGCCAGAGGAGGAGCGCCGGATTGAAGTTCAGAATCACAGAACTGAAGAGGAGAAGAGGCGAATCGCAGACTGGAGAATTGCGAAGAAGAAAGGAAACGCGGCGGCTGTTTTCGTTCGATTGATTAGGGTTTTGAGTTTTGACAATTCGGTTTTTTTTTTTTTTTTCTAAACTGCTAAACGACGACGTTTTCTTTTCCATTACCCTGCCCCCGGTTAGACCAAAATCGGCCGGTATTCCGTCTTAAACCGGTTAAACCGTTTAAACCGGCCGGCGCGGTATTTTGCACCCATAAACGGTATCGTACCGCCCGCGCTCCGGTATCCGGTTTTACCGGTTCAACCGGCCGGTACGATCCGGTTTCCTTTACCATGGTTTAAAGTCAAACCCGCCATGTAGTCCGTTAACACGAGTTTTACCCGCTTTTGATCTAGTTGGATCGAGGCAGGGCATCGGTGAATAGGGTTATATTGTCATCCCTACCGAAAATGCCAAGGCAAGGCTGGCCTGCTGGCTGCTGGTGACCATGTTGACCAGTATCCTGAAGCACCTTGATCACCATTGTGGAATTAAGTTGAAGCTCAACTTGGCGATGTCCTTTGTCTCATGCTATCTCTAGGCCCTTCGGTGCCCCCTTCAGAATGACCATAACATAAGGATATGTATCAGTAACTATGAGGTTTTCTTAGCTGCGAGCCAGAGGAATACGCTACTGATTACTGAAGTTTTTTTTGGTACAGATGGTAACATTGTGGCTCAATTGATAGCCCGTAAAATCTTGTTCTTGCCTGCTGCTTTCGGCGAACTCCGTAGCAGATTGGGGGAGGAAGAGAAAAAAAAAAGAAATCTTCGCCCACCTTGGGGCTCGAACCCAAGACCACAAGGTTAAGAGCCTTGCGCTCTACCGACTGAGCTAGACGGGCCGACTGCTGTTAGAAGTTATAGACAGTACTAATCTTTGCTTAGGGCAGTAACCAAGATTACAAATCATCTCTATGTTTAACATCAATCCCTTTTAGATTTGTTAACGACTCTAGCTGTTCACGAGCAGCTTGACTCGGGGAAAACTCCTTCAAATATTGGCTTGTTTGTACTAATGAGTCGAGTTTGAGATAACTCTTATTTGGATTGGGGGGGGGGGGGGGGGATCGCGAGCCAGCTTGACTCGGTGGCTCGTTGAGTTCAGCTCGTAAACTCTCTTGTTTTGAGCTAATGAGATGTCTCGACATTGTGGCTGATGAGCCAACACGACTGCTGGCTTAGGAAGTTAAATCGGTGCAATGATATGAACCAGTTTGACAACGCAAAAACTCATTATTGTTTTTTTATTCGTTGAATAAAGGCTTAAAAATAATGCATCATTTGGTTTTGGTGATAGTTTGGTTGGCATAATTACAATACATGCATTATCCACAATGAGTGATAGTTAAATGAGTGATAGTTAAATCTCAAGTTTAGGTTGAGATTGTTTGGTAGATATTGTAAGGTTTTGTTTTGTTCCAACTATGTCCCTACCTTTTTATGTGTTTTGCTTTTCTAGTATAAAAAACAAAGGGCAAAAGTAACATTTTATCCAAAAAGTAATATAACTTATCTCAATATTTAAATAACTATCACAGAAACCAAACGATGTAAACTACAATACACTAATTTCCTTCCATGCAAGTATATTATTTTACATGCATGGATAACAATGCATCAATTTAACTATCACCAAAACCAACCCCTACATTACATACCAGCTGTGAATTGGGCTTAGTAGCCAGCTAGATCCCACAGGTCTGATGCCCTTCCAGAGGTAAGACTTGTGCTCGGCCCATCTTCAGTTAAACAAAAGCCCATGAAATATTAGGTCCAAGCCCAAAATACCTACCGATCTGCCTTCTTGCTTCTTCCATTGTTTTCTGAAGGAGGGAAATAAGGTCGTTTGTGGTTTGCTTCACTCTTTGTCCCAAGTCCCAACACTCCAATCGGGGGGAAAAAAGGAAGAATTAGAATAGCACCGGCAATTAATCGAAGTAATTAATCAAAACTTTTTCCGTTCAACTACTCATCCCTGCCCTTCGCCTTCACCTGCTCTTTCTGTCGTCCGCGGCAAACACTAAACACACACGTTTCAATCTCCCCACATGCTCTGCCATCTCAGCTGACAACCCAGTCTTCTGCGCTCTCAGTTCAAGGTCGGGTTCAGACTTCAATCGAGGTGGAATCCAGCCGGCGCTTCTGATTGAACAAGAAAGAGGAAGATCGAAAGGGCGAAATTTGGGATTTTGGGTTTGCCTCCTCTCTATGGACCGGAATCGAGAAAGTCGACATCTTTGTTGATGCCGGAGACGAGCAAGGGTGCCGGCGAATATATAGTAAGGGAGGAGCGGCGGCGGAAACCCATCGCGGGCGAGATGCGCCGGGAGATGCTTGTCTGGGTTCACCCCAAATGCTTCCTTCTCTTCACTGGCATTCTAATTCTGCTCATTTTCGCCTTCTATAACTCGCAGACGGTACGGTTTCTTAGCTCGAGTAGGATGGTCGATCCCTAGATTGCTCTGCATTGTGTTGTTGCAGTTTGCTTGGATCTGGTCGTCGTTGATGGGTTCTGTTTTGTTTTAGTGTCTGTGATCTGATTTTTTATGCGGGTTTCTTTTTTCCCGGATTGGGAATCAGTGAAGTGAGGGGAATTTGAACATTGGGTTTAGGCGTATATTTGATTCTCTTTTGTGTTATTTTCCTGATCTACTGGTGCTGTGCTGATTTAGTCCCTTGATTATGGAAATGCATATATGAGTTTAAGTGTCTTAATTGCAGTTTTATGTGATGACTGATGACCGAAGGAGGAAGCAATGATTGCTTAATCAGAAATAGTACGATACTTGTAACTTTCAACTCATGCCAGTATCGTTCGTTATCTGTAGTCTGTACTACTTTGTGGTTAGGATATTGAACTGGTGGTATGGATGCTCGTAGTACAAGCTTGCTTTGTGGTCTCATACTCTCATTAACTAGGTAGGTGACTGTATCAATTGATGACCAGAGGAATACAATAGATGATAGGTACTGGAAAGTGAGGTTGATGACCAGAGGAATACAGTAGGTGACTATACCCAGTTGAATCTTCTAGTGGTTAATGACTATATCAATTCATGACCAGAGGAATACAGTAGGTGACAGGTGCTGGAGAGTGAGGTTTATCAGGTGATTCAACTGGGTGTAACTCTATGGAATGAATGTATGCAGCAGACTGATTAAGATGATTGTTTCAATGCCCATTATCATTTTCTAGCAAACCACCTCATTTAAGACTTGAGCGTCAGCTCTTTTGAACCAATTCATGCATATTCTGCATTTGAGAGTAGGCTTGCTTCTGCCCGAGCTTGTTATTAGCTATAACATAGTGGATGTGCTCTTGCTGTCTGTCTTCTTGTACTAGCTTAACCCCAATGTCGAGTGGGTGAAGTTTTTGTTTGTAGCTTAGCTTTCGGAATTTGTCACTCCTGTGTACCAGTAGACTTTAGACCAGACGTTTCATTGATTTGCCACGGTTTTATGTGTCGGTATAATTTAATGACTTTAGCTAATAAACATGTACCGATTTCATTCCATCCAGTTTCTGCCATCCTGTATCCTCTCTACTGTGTTTGTTGAAGGTTTTTCATATTTCCATCCAATTTAACTTTACAGTCTAGAGTCACCACAACTTTAACCTATAACTTTGAACTGTTGTGCAGGCTGAAGAGAATAGGGAAGTGGAGTATGAGATCACTCATAGAGTATACTTGGATATTGATATTGAGGAGCAACGTTTAGGTATAGATTTTTCTCCTGTAGTTTAACAGGTCCCATGAATTGCCATGCTCTTTGGTCTACCTATCAAGATATTATTCTATCCTCAGAGCTACTAATTGTCACTCGTCAATTTCATTTCTTTGCTACTATTCACTTTTTTTTAATTGGATCATGCAGGTAGAATCGTTATTGGATTATATGGTCAGGTTGTACCGAAAACTGTAGGTATGTCTGTTCAAGTGCCATTGAAGTTATTGCCTTGAAAGTATCACTGTGGTAATTGGAAATTTCACTCTACTGTTAAAAAGATGCTGAATTTCGGTCCTACCTTTTAGAATTAAGCCTGAAAGTAGCAAAAAGTGGTCCCTTTTATAGTTCTCTCCTCTGCTTTTAAGAGTATGGCCTTAGTTATTGTTACCTCTTGTTCAATAACTTCTCAAAGTTAGGTAGTTTGCCAGGCAATTTGCTGAGAGCATCTCCGGCTCGTGCATTTCCCTTGTTCCTGTTTTCTAAGCTTTGGGTTCTTTTTTTGTGTGTTTGCAGAAAACTTCAGGGCATTGTGTACAGGTACCAACCAGAGTTCATACCCATTAACTTCCTTCTTCTGTCCTGCTTTTTAACCTCTTGTATCTGATATGATACCACCTTTTTTCTCCATACAAGCTCTGTGCTTACTGTTATTCTCTTGCAGGTGAAAAAGGCACAGGTGCAAATGGGAAGCCTCTCCACTACAAAGGAACCCCATTTCATCGAATCGTATCAGGGTTCATGATCCAAGGTGGTGACATAGTCCACGGAGACGGGAAGGGGAGTGAATCCATCTATGGCGGCAAATTTCCAGATGAGAATTTCAAGGTAAAACATTCCCATGCCGGCGTCGTTTCAATGGTAAATACAGGATCAGATTCAAATGGGTCGCAGTTTTTCATCACCACCATAAAATCCAGCTGGTAAGTAAAAGGTCTAATCTCTCAACTCTTTGGCTCTAAAGGCCCTTCTTCCTACTATCATTCGAAGGCTTTACGATCAATATATACGCGATTGTCTGTGTGGTTATAGGTTGGATGGAGAGCATGTGGTGTTTGGGAAAGTGGTTCAAGGGATGGACTATGTATATGCAATTGAAGGTGGAGCTGGAACTTACAGTGGGAAACCCAGAAAGAAAGTTGTGATTGCAGACTCTGGTGAAATACCAAAGGACAAGTGGGATGAAGAAAGAAGATAACCCCCACACCTTTTTTTTTGTAGCTTTGTCAATTCATTCTTGCTCCACTCTTTGTATCATCTGTTCTCATCACATCACTAATTATTATTCATATAATCTTAAATCTACTAGAGAAAAGAAACCAGCCCCACTTCTTACTTAGAAATGTATTCCAACTTTCATCTTTTTCCTTCTTCTGCCTGCCATGATTTTGTTTAGATTTGTATTTGGCAAATGTGATTAATATAAACTTCCCATTTAACCTTTGCTTTGAGCTCATTGTGGTGCTTGAAATTGGTTGTGTTAATTATCGTGCTGATCTGTTTGTGTGGCCACGTGTGCTCACATGGCAGTCCTTGCTGGCAATTTCTTCCAGCTAGACTGGTTTGATTACACCACGTTAAGCAAAGTTGACAACTTTGGTTATTTTAAGGATTCCAAATCTGCATACCATGGCGCTACCAAGATAATTTATAATTATCATTAAAGTTTCCATTTTTAATATTGAGCTGGGCAGCCGCCCTTCCCAGATTTCCCACTTCCCTTCCTCTGTACCAGCTGCCCGAATCCGCCGCTGAGTCAACTCGTAGCCAGAGCAAAACATTCTCAGTAGCATCAGCAGACTCCTTTCTCAGCTCCGACCACTGCCGCCCGATTTGGCGGAATTCGCAGATAAAGTTCCCATCTTTTTCCCTTTCTCAAGCTGTGATGGGAAGTAGTAGCGAAGAACAAGAGAAAAGAATCGCTGCCCTTTACGACCCGCCTGCCACTTCATCATCTTCCCCAACGCAGCCGCTGCTCTTCAAGCCGCCGCTAGATGACGAGCACACCTCCGACCCTAATCCAGAATCCGACCCGACCCAGTTCCTCCAGATCTCTTACAACTCCGGTCACCGGCCGTTCAAGGACCTGCCCTTTCTCATCCTATTCCTCCTGGTTCTTCTCAGCACTCTCGGATTGGGAATCTTCTCAATCGTCCACAGAAACCCCAATTACGGCAGCCGTTCGTCTTTCACTTTCGACTCCCGATCGGCCACCTGCGTTCCCGCCAGCCCGAATTCAGCTTCCACAGGCGGCAATTTCTACTATTTCCTCGTCAATTCGTTGGGCTCCAGTGGGTTCATCAGCGGGCTGATATGGGCAATTGTTATCACGGTGATCCTCAGCGGACCCATCTGCTTTCTCCTGCTTTTCTCTCTCAGGCATTATACCAAATACCTTGTGTACGCTTCTCTTCCCTTTTTCATCATCATGCCTGTCTTCTTTAACGTCTACTGGTTCGTTGCATGCACGCTTAGCTCGTCCTGCAGCGATGAACTGCCACTGGGTTATAGGATTTTCGTCATGTGTCTCATCTTTGTGGTGATCGGGGTCCTTGTTTGGGTTCTAGTTGTGAATTGGTATCGGGTTGAGCTGACTATAAGCATAATTGGGATTGCTGCCGATGCCCTGTACAAGAATTTGGGTCTGTTTGTGGCTCTGCCGCTGTTGACGTTTGGTTTGGTGGTATACTATGCTCCCTTTGTGGTGTTCTTAGTGTTTGCGAGGTTTAATGGCAAGATTGTGCCCAAAGAATCGAATGGAGAATATCATTGTGGTTGGAAGGAGGATAGTTGGGTGCCTGCTTACTTCACGCTTGGGATAGTTACCTTGTTGTGGTCTTCTGCAATAATGGCGGAAGCTCAAGTTTATGTGATCAGTGGGACTATTGCTCAGTGGTACTTCTCGAAGGACGACTCCCCTCCTAAACGTGGCATAAGAACTTCATTGCGGTGATTGATTCATCCTAGTTTTGTTTTTCCACTTTCAGATAATTGCCACACCATCTTCATGATCTCATTGATGTGTCTCTATAAACCCTTTTTAGGAATGCGTTTGGCCCATCTTCAGGCAGCGTATGTCTCTCTGGTTTGATTATATTCATCGTTCGCATGGTGAGAGGTGCTGTCGATAGTGCAAAACGAGAAGATAGTCCGGGGATGGTGAATCTCGTGCTCCGAACATGTGTCAATCTGTTCCTCTCTTCAATCGAGTTTCTGAACAAGTTCACCATCAATTTCGTGGCGATAACTGGGGAAGCCTACTGCACTTCCGCGAGAATGACTTACGAGCTCCTGAAACGCAACCTTCTCTCAGCAGTTCTGGTGGAGGTTATCTCTACTCGTATATTGGCTGGCATCACTTTCGTGCTCTCGGCTGTGTATGCAATTGTGGTGAGTTCCTTCTCATCAGTCTACCAGGTTTTGCAAAATGAATGGCATAGGATAACATCAATCATCACAATGTCTCTCTTACTTGCCTATGCAGGTGTGTGCAATACTGAAGGGTGCCACGAGTCTTGGGACTGATGCGTACTACGTCGCGATCCTCGCATGGTTGGTCCTGATTGTTGTGCTGGGGTTCTTTGTACATGTGCTGGACAATGTGGTCGACACGATTTACATATGTTACGCGATAGATAAGGATAGAGGGGAAGTGTACAAGTCGGATGTTCATGAGGTTTATGTGCATTTGCCCATCAGTAGAAACCAGAGGCCGAGCTTGGCTCCTAGAACTGATGCAGCTGTATGAGTATGATGAGCTACTATTGCATAATCTGCAGAGGGTTTCTTTTCTAACATTCTGTAACGTTGCTTAGTGTTCTGTTCTTGTTTGATGAGGTGAGTGTTCATGGTTGCCCGGTACTGTTGATCTGTGAATATACCTTTTGGGTTGCTGCTGCTGCATTGTAAATGTTTGAAGTTAACCGTTGTCTGTTTGTTTGTTGATTGCATTTGTGAATATTGTCTGTCGTGTGTTTGTTATATCTCGACATTTAGGGGTCGTTTGCTTCAAGAATTTTATAACGAGGGTTTTGTCATGGATTTGCTAATTAAAAACCTTGGGATTTATTAAGGATTTTGGGCATTATGGATTTGAGGAAATCTTTTGTTTGCTGAGCTATTTGTATCATGGATTTGATGGTTTTTCAGCTTGTCTCCAAATCCCAGGGTATAAGGTGGGATTTACAAATTCGTGGGGTCCACGGATTTGGAGCTCCAAATTAGTGGACCCCACGGATTTGGTATCCTCCATTTTGGCTCAATAAACAATGGCTTTTGGACAAATCCTTCATGGGATTTGAGAACCAAATCCCACATTCAAATTCTTGAAGCAAACGACCCCTTAATTCACCGAACTTGTGCTTTTTAGACAAATTTCTTATATCAAGAAGCACCAATGATTTCTAATATAGTAGACGAGTTCATGATGAGCATGTAAATTAAATTTCCCTTGTGTTGTTTAAGTTCTACTCCGTATAGGCCAAGGGTGCAATCGGGTAAGCAGCAAAGTGAATTTCTTCTAAAAACATTACTTATAAATGAAATTACATATTTTCATGTGCTGGTTAGAACAATCACCTATTCAACTATCTGGATCGACGAAGTAAGTTGTTATTAACAAACAAAACAAATACCAACATTTTTTATTTCCTTGTTTCCAAAGTATTTCTTCAGATTATGCAAAATTTACAAGAAAATTTGGGTTTAAAAGGAATCAAAGTGTATTTGGAAAACCAAATCCTAATAGGAAAAGAAAAAGAGGAACGACATAAATAAAAAGGTTACAAGAAAGACCGAAAAATGAAAAATAAGCAAACCAATATTAACAATAGCGCCGCTGGCCCTTCTAGGAAGAAAACTTTCGACTTTCGAGTCTCCTACAGAAACAGCTTCTCGACAACACTCTCTCTCTACCTCCGACGAGCTACTTTCTCCGGCGACGACAATGGTTCTCGAGGTTAGTTTCCGGTAGCTCATCCTCTGATTTTTATCCCATTCTGTCTCGTTCATCCCGCCTGCGGTCTGTTTCTAGCCCCGAGGGTTCCGAATTAGTTAGCTTCTGGTCTCGAATTCGATTCAATCGCGGCGAAACAGAAGCTTCGATGAAAATAGGGGTTTCTGTATTTTTCTCACACTGGGTCTTGTTTTCAGGCGACTATGATATGCATTGACAATTCCGAATGGATGCGCAACGGCGATTACACTCCTTCCCGTTTCCAAGCGCAGGCCGATGCCGTCAATCTCATCTGCGGCGCGAAAACTCAGGTACTATTGAGAGAAAAGAATTGAAATTTAGGGTTTTTTGTCCTCGATTTGGTTGGCTTGTTCTCTCTAGCTGTTTGTTTGGTCTCTGGTTTGTAATAGTTGTTTGATTTGGGAAACCTTGCAGTCGAATCCGGAGAATACGGTAGGGATTCTGACGATGGCTGGGAAAGGAGTGCGTGTTTTGACTACTCCCACCACTGATCTTGGGAAGCTCCTAGCATGTATGCATGGTACGGGTAATGCTACTGAAACTTTGAGGTCGTTTATGTACGGAATTCGTGTTATTTTGGTCAAGTGTTCTTGAGTTGGGGATAAATGGCGTTCATGGCTGATGGTTATGGGGAAAAGTTCTCTAATTTGTTGGTATTAAGTTGAGAAAACGATGTTAGAAGATGGAAAAGTGTTGGAATTTAAATCTGCAAGCTCTAACTTAGATGCTTCCCTCGCAGCTGCGACTCTGCCTATTTTGTATACTAGTTTGAACTTTAAATTGGATTCGGATAACTGATTATGTAAAACAGATGACTAAAGTTGTCTTCACCATGACATTTACATCCTATTAATCATTTTCATTAGAACACCGGAAGTTTCTCATTCTAGTTTCTCTACAGGTCTGGAAATGGGAGGTGAAATGAACATTGCATCTGCAATCCAGATTGCTCAATTGGCTCTTAAGCATCGTCAGAACAAGAATCAGCGACAAAGGATCATAGTGTTCGCTGGAAGGTAGCTCATTTGTTTCTTCAAGAAGTTTATTTATTCGCTGAAACTTACATCTGAACTCAAAACTACTTCTTTTCATCTGTACCTGTTTGCAGTCCAATTAAATACGATAAGAAGATGCTCGAGTCCATTGGCAAGAAATTGAAGAAGAGCAGTGTATCTCTTGATATTGTTGATTTTGGAGAAGAAGATGAGGGGAAGCCTGAAAAATTGGAGGCCCTCCTAACAGCTGTCAATAACAATGATAGCAGCCATATAGTTCACATTCCTCCTGGTCCAAATGCCCTATCTGATGTTCTCATCAGGTTTGTTGCCTTCTTTTGTGTACCTCAAGGCATATACGATATGGTTAATCATTGCCTTTGCAGTATTGAATTAAATGTTAACCTGTCTTTAGGTTATTGAAATGGAATGAGGCTTGATACACTAAAAATCTCCTTTGGTGGGGGGAATGGGGACTGTGGGAAAACTATCCTACTGGTTTACCTAATGATAGTAGTAACCAGGAACTTGCCTTGAATTGTCCAGAGGCTGATAATCTAAAAGAGATGTGCTTGCTATGCATGTTCTCTTAGTTAATGATATGATAACTAGTTAAAGCAAATGTTTAGATGATGGTATCCTCTGCTGACATCTGATTAAAACAAAACTCCGTTTTATGTTGTTTCAAAATGATAAGTTTGTCTTTAATGTCGCTCTGGAGCTAATTATATGCTTTTTCACTGCATTGAGCTATTTCACCAAGCTTTGACTTACCAAGATTGTTTTCCCCCCACTTGGCAGCACTCCTGTATTCACTGGAGATGGAGAAGGAGGAAGTGGCTTTGTGGCAGCTGGTCCAGTAGCTGTTAGTGACTTCGATTTCGGCGTTGATCCTAACATCGATCCTGAGCTGGCACTTGCCCTTAGAGTATCCATGGAAGAGGAGAGGGCAAGGCAAGAAGCTGCTGCTAAAAGGGCTGCCGAGGAAGGTTCAAGCCAAAACAAAGGGGATGAACAATCATCCAAGTCGCAGGATACAACAATGGCTGACACCACTGGAGCAACGGCTGCGACTGATGCTGCTGAACCGATGGTTAGTTGGCTCTTCTAATTATCCCTGCATGTGCTACCTGTTGCCGGTTTCTTGTCTGTTTTTGATCCACCGTGATAATATTAGCTTGACTTTGTATTTGTGAATAATGTTGCAACAGAGTGAGGTGGATGCATTGCTACAGCAAGCCATTGCCTTGTCGATGCAAACTCCTGCATCAGATTCAGCTGTCCGTGACACTGATATGTCGGAGGCAAACAATGAGGACCAGGACTTGGCAGCTGGTGAGTTTTATTATACTTTTTTCCAGTTTTAATCCTGAAATATAATGCTGATCTGTCTGTGTCCATGTAGAGTTCATTCCATTTCAATTTCTTACGTTGTTGCATGCAGCGCTTCAAATGTCCATGCAGGAAGGTGAAAAGGATTCATCAGGTCAAATGGACATGAGTGAGGTGCTAGAGGATCAAGCCTTTGTGTCATCTGTCCTCGCATCGGTATGTGTACACTAAATACTCATATGAATGAACTCCACCCTTAATTTCTGGTATGCTAATACTAGTCCGTTTGCAGCTTCCTGGTGTTGACCCCAACGACCCTTCCGTAAAAGATCTGCTTGCATCTTTGCATGGCAAGTCCGAGGTTCGTACATGTTAACTTCTGCAGAATTCGATTTACAACAGCCTCATTGAATGCGTGCGTGAAATGTTTCTGACTTAACTTTCCTGTTTTCTCCCTTATCACCATGAAATCAGTCTGCTGATCAGAAGAAGGATGAAGAAAAGGCACCAAAAGACGACGAGAAGTGAAGAAACAGGTGCTCGATTAGTCTCATTCATCTCCCCTCAAATCAACGTCTTCTACATCCTGGGGCATGGCAGCCATGTAAACTTATTTATATGCCTTTTCTATCGTATTCGATCACCAGATGGTAAATTTGGATTAGAAGGATTGGCTGGGACTCTTTTGTTTCCCTTTTACGATGCTATAGTGAGTTCTCCCCTTGAACTTATCATCACTTCTAATCTTGATCTGTTTGATTCACGTGGGAATGAAATGTGAATGAACACTGAACAAACCCTGTCTCAAACATGGTGTTTGCTTGCTTCCTCTGTTTTTGTAGTCTAGCTTAAGGTACACTACATCGAATATCATTGACATGGTTGGTTAATTTCACGTTTGCCAACAGAAGATAGAAAAACATTGACTGAGTTTATCTTAGGTGACAGCTAATGATCTATTATCAGACATTATCATATTACTTGGTCGTTTTACTTTCTAGCCATGTCAAGTGTCTTATGATGTTCATAGTTGCGACCAAAATGGAGGAAGACAAGCTACATGTATCCAAAACGCAGCTTCTCAATGTCCATGAAACAGATGGATGGAACCTCCAACTAACCCCAATACACTAAGTAAAGGAGTCCAGAAATCGATCAATCAATCATATATATCCAGCTGTGGCTATTATTGAACCATATGACAAGAAGTCTACCAGAAGCTTCAGAATTTTGGCCAACTTGCAAAATTCCAAGCACTTGTTTCTCCATATACAGTGAGAGCTGAAGAAGATGATGACGAATTGCTCACCAAACCCAATTGAGTAGCTCCACTAAGAAGCTGCCATATACCAAGAGGAGAATAATAAGGTGGGCGTAACGTCTCTTATCGTTGCACTATGTTTCTCGTTGGTTGTCTCTTATCAACTATTTAGAACAAACAATTTAATAAGCAGAAGCCAACGGTGTATATTATCATCCGAAACTAACTGCACGGGAGACGTGGTAGATTATCATCCCGAGAATGTGGCCTGATTGTTTGTTGTATCGTCTCTCGATCATGTGGCTAGGATTGTAATTAATGTTCATGTAAAGGAAACTCCATGTGTGTAATACTAGTTATAGATTTACCAATTTTTACAACTGCCTTCAACAAGAAGGATTAGTCGCCACTGTGACCACGACAAAACCACGATGAATACTGTGATAACTAATTAATAATTAAACCCAACTTTGTTGGCCCATCCCATATGACCATTTTTCTCCCAACAAAAAGAGAGGGCCTCCTCTCCTCTCTCCCATAACATCACATGAAGTAAACATGCATGTCTCCTATCTTAGGGTCCATTTCCCCCTTCTTGGTTGAACCCAAGTGTTTGTTTCTGTGTAACATTCTTCCACTCTGCCATGGATGGAGTGGAGCAAGAATGTGTTGGGAATTGGGATAATGCCAATCTGATTCTTCCCAAATTTTGCTGTATATGACATTTTCAGCAAATGTTGGATGTTGGCTCATACCTTCCTTACTTGCATTCGACAAACTTATGGGGCTACTCCAACCTTCACGATATCGAATCATGATTCTACGAAGATGCGTTCTTTTGTGGCAAAAACTTTTTTTGCACACTTGGGCTGTGCCTCGGTTTGTTCATTCCACCATTAGCCAGATTACATGCATGATACCATGGGGATTGGTTCTTCTCCCCCCTAGCAATTACAAATTGAACTAGCTAGCCCACTTCATTCATGAATCCTCTGTCTCTCACACATACACTTTGCTTCCTTCTAATATTAGTTTGCTTAGGTTTTTTCGGGGATTGCGAAACCGTAGCAAAGGTTATATAACGGAAAATTCAGTGGGATATTTAATATTAAACTCATGGTTCAACTGTTTCAGACTGCTAAAATTGCCTACCAATTTTGAGTTTGGTATATTGTATTCTTGATCCGAATCCGACTTAGACGTTATGGTACGAGTTCTAAAACATTGAACTCTTTTTTTTTTTTTTGCAAAATTTTAATGTGTCTGGTGGCATTTGACCAGTTATATGGTGAGTTCAACTGTTCAAGTTCTTCGATATGGTTAGCGGCTACCCTTTTAAAACTCGCGAGCATGTGTGTATTTTGGAATCTGATTGTGCATAGATCGTCCAAAAGACCAAAACCACTTATCTCCACAATTTTTTCTACAGAATTCATACTATACCCCATGCGTATTCTATCCAGACATCGACCAACTTTCAGCAAGTACTTTATATTCAACGAGGACCCTCTCTATCAATAGCAATTAAAAACGTATACAACGACGTTTCAACGCTAACTCGCGACGACTGACCCGTCCAGACAAACCCTTTACTTATATGTTGATTACAACACCTAACATTAGTTGAAATGCATTTACTTCTATCCATACCCCGACCCCAAGTGGCTCCCTCCCTCCCTCCAATGGCAACAGAGTTTCTCCTCCTGCTGTCTTCAGCTCTACTGCTGCTTTGCTTGGACGCGAAGAGATCTGAATTATATTGTGGGGACCAAATTGGTAAAACAGGAAAAGAATGTGGGCTAGCTTTCCTATGTGATTTGATCAGATCCCCACACGGCCACACGGACACGGGGAGCGCAAGCAGTACCTCTTTTTTCCTCTTCTCACCATTTTACCTTCCATCTTTTTTTTTTTTCTTTTCCATTTATGAATATTACAGAATGTACCTAGGTTGCAGCAAATTCCTCACTGCGTAAAGAGCCGTCAACAGGAGATCTTGCTCCACTTTGTATGAACAAAAACCATGAAAGATGTGTCTCTTGCAACCCCTTTTACGCTGTGGAATTTCATAACTTCAAGGTCAGATCTTGCCACCCAGTTGATAATTATTATAACTGAAAAAGAATGTTTAACAAACTAGTTACCCCTGGATTAATTGATTTTATAGGCTTATCGGGTCTCTTAACTAATAAAATTCGACTAGCCCTTAACGATTTCGGTTTTAACCAGAAAACCTAAAATTGTTAATGAAAGAATGATAGGTCTGTATGCAATCAAAAATTCATATTTGGTTTTCCCGTTTAATCTGGCTGAAAACTTAAATCGGTAAGGACTTACCATTTTCTGTTTCTTAACGGTTTCGATTTTGGGCAATTGGCTATTTTGGGTTTCGGATTCTAATAATTTTTCGGTTAGGTTTAACCACCACCCCTAGTATGGACTCACGTTGTCCACGACAATCAAAGACTATAGAGTGCAGCAGTACTGTCCGAACCATAATATATTGGAGCACATCTTCATGTGAATCGGATAAAGTATGACTAGATATTATGCAATCATGTTCTCGATTTCATGAGTTTTTCAAATATTAAAAAAACCCGAACTGAATGCACTGTGATCAAATTTCAGTTCTCAACTATTATTTACTTTTGATCTGGTTCTATCGTACTTTGATCTATTTATCTACGTGACAGAACAGTTGCACAAGGGGAAGGTGACACATAAATGATATGTGTTGTAGATAACACTGTTCTCCGAAATCACCCTTCAAATTTGAAAATTCATTTCAAAGAGCGTTGCAACCATCTTTACTACAACTTTTAGTACTACTCGCTGTGCTCAGGGATTACACTCTGAAAGTTTTGTTTTTCTCAAGCACAATTGCCAAGTGTCAAATCTAAGACTCAAAATGCTGGCCGAAGCATGCATTTCACTAGGTATTAGACAAAATTCACACCATCCACGCTTCTAATTGTATCTTTAAAAAAATGAATGTTTATTATTGGCAAGTGCATTAATTAACTAACTAAAATAAAACATTTTCATTTATCCAAACGCTTCTTCTGAATATATATATAGAAGAAACCAGCTTAAGGCAAGTTCATTAACCACAAAATAAGATGTTTACTTTCTTGCCTAATTTAAAAAATCAAAAAATAAAAAGACTTTTCTTTCTGATCTTTTGCAATGTAATATTGGTACTCACACTTATTTTCTAACCATGAAATTCGAGTTGCGACCAACGGAAATTAATAACTATCAAATGTAAGCATCAATTTCCGTGAATTAAACTATTATTAACCTAATTTAGTGGGTCAATACGACTCGTATAATGATAATAACATGACAACAAAACTTAGACCACATCATTACGACTCCTTTAAACTTCTACATATACCTCCTGCATGCCCGCTCTATAGAGAGAAAGAAAAAAAAATTAATGCTAGCACTAAATAGTATCAGTCGAAGAAAATAAAGTACCAAATTGTAAATTGGATCAGATGCACGGGACTTGGAAAACCGTCTGCTCTAGTCGGCAATGTCAATGAGTGCGGAGGCAGCTGACGAGGAGAGAGAAAGAAAATCGAAAGTGGCATAAATGTAATATACGGAACCATCAATGGCAAATTCGCAGCTGGATATATTTTACTTATATAAACAGCGGCGAGTCAAGCAAAAAACCAACAACACTCGGTATCAAATCACCGGCTTCCGCTTCGCCACTGAATTTCAGTCTCCAATCTCCATTAGCTTCTTCCCTCTTTTCTCGATCAACAATGGCGATGGCATTCCAGATGGTAAAATCGAAATCATCCGGCACAACTTCTTTGCCGTTTCAATACCTTCCCCTAAGTTTCGCGAATTCGTTTTCGGATTTTGGATTTCAATTTTTTCTTCTTCTTTTCCATCTGATTGTGGCGCAGGCGGCGAGCGGGATGTGGGTGAGCGACGAGTGCAGGAACTCGTTCATGGAGATGAAGTGGAAGAAGGTCCACCGCTACATCGTATTCAAGATCGACGAGAAGACAGGGCTCGTCGCCGTCGACAAGGTAGGCGGCGCCGGCGAGAGCTACGACGACCTCGCGGCGTCGCTACCGGAAGACGACTGCCGCTACGCCGTCTTCGATTTTGACTTCGTCACCGTCGACAACTGCCGGAAGAGCAAGATCTTCTTCATTGCCTGGTCCGTCCGTCTCCCCCTCTTCCGTTCACTTCCGTTAAATTATTCTAAATAAATTCGCCTTTTTCTCAACAGAATTTATTCGAAGATTTGCTTTTTCTGCCTTTTGGCTTACTTTGCTCATTTGTTCGTTCCTTCGTTATTGACACGTGGAAATCTATGATAGGCTGAGGAAAATGAAACGCATGGATTTAATTTATTTCCTTTTTCTAATTAAATAAATTTTCATGGCGGATATTGTTTTTTTTTTTTAGAATTTTATTTATTTAGTTATGATAACCTCCGGTACAATTTTACAAATTACAATTGTTAGTAATTGAATATGAATTTTGATCTGAAATCGAATTATCTGTTGAACTTTCGTGCAAATCGATAATGTTTGAACTCTTTTCTAAAGAAATTGGATGTGATAACACTATTTGCAAATTGGAATCATAATTTGTGTTTATGGACAAAGTTTATGCCTTTTGGGATATCATGCCTAAGAATTATAATAAGTTGCACCAACCATTGTCATTTTAGGTGCAGAGTCACAGAGTCTTGGTCTACAGTTGTTGCACCAAATTGGGGGGAGAAAAGTTTGGTTTGTTGGGAAGCATAGTGTATTATTGAGAAATTGAGAAACATTTACTTGGTTACAATTGATTCTACTTTATGTCAATACTTTATATGTAGAAAAGCAAATCGTTGAAAAATTCTCTTGAATTCGATTTGTGATATCGATCATCAGAAACATTTTATATGGATCTCCAATTTGCGACGAATGTCTTAAACTAGCTTATGCTCGAATGAATTTGTCATATGTTTTGCGAGTCCAAAATTTGTTTTGAACCTAACCGATTCTTCCCGTTGTTTGGTTCAGGGCACCTGCGGCGTCGAGGATCAAAGCAAAGATGTTATACGCAACATCAAAGATCGGAGTGAAGGGAGCATTGGATGGGATCCATTACGAGCTTCAGGCGACCGATCCAACCGAGATGGGGTTTGATGTGATCAAGAGTCAAGCCAAATAAATTAATTAAGGGGTGTGTGGGAACTAATCAACTTAAAGAGTATTAATATATAATCGGTTCATTAGAGAATCATTGAGGGAGTTGTTGGAGTTCCCATGGTTATTAATGAATTGATGATTATAGGATTAATCATACTTTCTATTGTTGTTAATAACTCCCCTAAGTTCCTTTAATCATGTAACCAGCTAATTTGGTGAGAGTTAGGGAACCCTGCCTTTTGGGTACTTTCTACCTCATTCTCTCCCCCCTTGTGTTCTTTTTTACTAGTTAATCTCATCTTATATTTATATAGGATGCACTAGACAAAATAATAGTGCATCCTTCTTAAATTGATGCTAGAATTTCTCGGTCATTAATTTTTCGATTTTCACAACGAAGAAAATACTGATATCACAACATCAATCGTCTTTAGATAATACTAAAAGATTGATGCAATTGCACAATGACGTATTATGAGGTAAGAAGACCATTATATTAACAAAATTTTAGGTGTCCTTTCACATATCTAGTCACAAAAAGACATGAAGGAAAAGTGATTATATGGTTGGTGGGGGTAGAGATTTGATTAAGGGAAATGATTGTCCATGGAAAATTATTTATATAGGGAAAAGGAATATGGGCCACAATGATAGATATTGTAACCACTGCAACCCAAGTCAAAGAGAATCAAATCATCTTATCATTTTTGGCACCAAATTGTTGGATCGTGTATAATAATAATTTGGTCATCTTTAGTGGTCATTCCTATCCATACATATGATTGGATCCTCTGTATTAATTTCCTAACCCTAGACCAGTGTTGTCAACAATCCTAATCGATAAAATGTTCGAGATTCATCGATTCATCGACAGTATGAAATAGTTCAGAAAATTGGTTACTTACGACTTCAGGATAATTACGAAAATTAATTCTAATTTGTAGATTTACTTTATTCTAAAAGGCTACTCTACTTTCACATAATGACTAGGATTCAAGTCCTTCTGTAAGTTGGAGGCCTCAAGAAGAATCGCAAACGATAAAACTCGGGCACAAATTAAGAACCGCATTCATGCACCAAGATCTTCTAAGATATGAGTTCTTGGTTCTAGAAAAACAATGAGACGTGCAATAGCCAGATCCAATTTGCTCGGCGTAAGTACATATAATATAACTATGAGAGCTGATCCATACTTGTGGTTGTCGAGCCCGGTTGTGACTGTTGATGAGGTTGACATGACATTCATTCCAGCAACTTCAACAGCATCGCAAATCATGTCTGCACAATCAACACGAGACGAGACAGATATTGGTTAGACGGAGGAACCATGCAGAAAATACAATGCTCCATTTGCAAACAGTTCATTCTTTTTTCGTCTAGGATTATGGGAATAACAGTTCCAAGTTCAATAGTCAGCAGCTGTTGCGTTGCATCCATAGTGATCCAACCGTTATAGTGCCTACACACATCTCATTCTGAACTGCTACACATAGCAATGATTCAAACGGCTTAAACAAATTGAACTTACTAAATCCATCCAGGGAAGCAAGGACGATTTATGCAGGCAACAGGCTGAAAAACTTCTTCACTGCTTTAGAGTTCACAATAGGACTTGTAAAGAAGAAAGAAACTTTGACTACCCGAGATAGGATCCCAAGAGCCACTTTTTCAGAACTTCTCGTCAACCTCTTAACCCTGCAAAATGCCACAAGACATATTGTCAGTTATACTTGATTTGCCTTGCTATGATCTGCTGCAAACATGGAGAGAAAACTAAACCATCACAGGAAAGGAGTCATACAATTGTCAAACTAGATTGCAGGAGTTCACACTAAGCGGGAAAAAAACAGTCCACTCATCTAAATACAGAAAACTTGGAATCCACGATTACCCATTTCAACTTCACCATTTAAGTTCAAACTTTGTCCCCTCACTAAGTCTACGAACCAGTTCAAAGTCTCAGATTTGAGACCTCCCCCAATGAAATTTCTATCAGCCATCAGTTAAGTAAACCAGCAAAGTGAGATAAAGCAAATGCTAATGATGAACCAAAGCAGATAACTTGAAAAAGAACTAAATCATTCTCAATTTCTCACCTTTTGATCCTTCTCAGAGCTGCTTGACTGGCATCCACACTGTCACCTTTATTCAACCTCTTCTTCAAGAAATCATTACCCCATTTCAATCTATCCGTGGTGACATCTCCACACCACAAAATCCCGGATCACATGCCTCGATCCCGCCGCAATCATCCTAGCAAGCAAGCTGCTATAATCCTCCACAATGGAAGCCAGAACGGTCGAATAAGCCGCATAGCTCGCCTTCATCAACCTAATTGGACTATATCTCTACTAACCATAACGATAATTATCCTACTATAATTAATAAGAGAAACCCCAATAGGGCGGGTTTCTAACAATATCTCGGTGAATAATAGAGATTCTTACGCTCCCATTTTGGCTCTCGCTCTTCCTCCAGTTCATGCTCCGGCTCGCGCTCCACGAACTCGCTACCTGAGCTGGAAGTAGAGCTATCAGCAGCTCCTGTAAACCCCACAACGAACCGAGAAGCTAGTTCCTTGCCGTATCTAGCAGCCGCCTTTGCCAAATACTTCAAGCTCATCCTCATCTCCATGTCCACATCGCGTAGCCCATCCAGCTCCTCGAGTCCCTTCACCTTGGTCAATCTTTTGCATCCCTCAATATCCAACTCCCTTAATTTCTTGAGACCAGAGACATTTCCCAACTCCTCTATTGACTTGCAATCATACAGTATCAGCTTTGTTAACGACTCCAAACCCTCGATTCCTTTTACCTCAGTCAACCCTGTGCAGTAACTAAGGTTCAATTCCTCCAAATTCTTGAGGCCGGATAAATTTGGCAGCTCCGTAATCGACCAACAATGACGAACTCGTAGCTGACGTAACGACTCCAATCTGCCGATCCATGTGGGGACATTCGTCAAGCTTGCAAAATTTGTAAGGTCTAATGTATTGAGATTCCTGAGGTTAGACAGATCCGGCAGCTGTCGAATTGACATGCAACTCTTCATGGTCAGGGATTCTAGCGACACCAATCTCTCAAGCCCTGTCACCTCAGTCCAGTGCGGACTGAACAAAATCCTCAGCCGTTTCAGATTGAGGAGACCAGAGAGGTCAGGACATGGTTTTCCACAAAACGATTGCTCCTCAAGAGTCAAATCATCCAATGCTCCCAGAAACTGAAGTAATCCATGTAAGTTTGCCAAGCTGGGACAATCCTTAATTGTCAGACGCGATAGAGACTCCCCGAGATCACCCAGGCATTGGATTTCCACGAGCACCGGACACTGGTAAACCTCCAAATCCTTCAATTTCATCAAATTCGCTAGACTGGGCAGCCTCTCCAGCACGGCGCAGCTTCCCACAGACAGGGTTGTGAGGAGGAGCAGATTCTCAAGTCCGTTGAGATTGTTCAGATTCGGGGAATCCGATATCTCCATAGTCACCAGAGCCCTCAGCTCCCCGAGGCCACGAATCTCTACCGCCTCTATATGCATGAGCGTGAGTTGGGTCAGGTTGCGCAGATTTGCTAAGCTAGGGAGTTCACTCAAGGGCCCGGAATACTTCTCATGAATCAGTTGACATTCGTCACAGCTGACCACAAACTGTAAGCCTCTAGGGATCGAAGGAATACTGCCGTTGAGGTAGCTTAGGGACTCCAATGCCGTCAGCTCCAGCAAATTTGGGACCCCGTTGGAAGATGCAATGGCTAACCTTTTTAAACTCCTCGGGAGTCTGGGTATTTCTAATTGGTACCCCTGGTATAGTGATTCGAGCAGCAGGCTCTGGAGAGAGGATAACTTGTCCATCCCGGCGGGCAATTCTGTCATAGGAGTAAACCTCAAGTCCATCTCCTCCAGTCGTTGAAGCCTTCCAATGTCATTACCCGTGATGATTAAGCCTGTTATCTTGGTCCAAGGGAGCCTCAGCATGTTCAGATTCTTGAAATTGGCAATGTTCAATTGTCCTTCCATCCTACCACATTCCTCAAAGTTTATCAACTCCATACCTGCGCATGTGGACAGGTCAGGAGCCCTTCTCAGCTCGACGCACCTGGTTAAATTTACAGCTTTCAGCTTCGCTGCCGCCTGTGCATTATGATACAACCATTACAAACAGACTGGACTGACCATATATGTAATGTAATAATCTACGAATGGAAAAGACAGAAAGAGGAAACAGATTTTACCTTTATTCGATTCCAGCCCCTCCAGTTATCTTTTACATCGCATTGCTCCAAATCAAGAACGGTCAATTTCGTTGTGTAAATATCAGTTGGGATTGATTCACAATGTGGCAGTCGAAGGCAACGTAGATTTGGAAGAACCTGGCTGAAATCCCCCATCACGTTTCCATATCGCACCTCCAGATACCTTAAACCTGATAAGTTCTTAAATTGCTTGCTCGTAAGCAGCTTTTCATGAGCATCTCTAGAATTCAAATTCACCCTAATAGCTTCCACCCGTTCACTTCCCTAAAAACAATAGATGAAAAGAAAGAAACTACACATAAACATATATAGTTGTTGACAACTTTTTATCATTAATATACAACCCAAAGATTATCAAGTTGTTGACAAAAGTCTTTACCTTTCCATTTCTAAACATGTCGAGGGCATCATCAGTAGACCATATCCTGCTACGGTTGTATGGATGTTGAATATCTTCCTCTTTAACAATGGCCCTTCCAAGATCTTTGATGTGATCGTGCATCCAAAAATGATTTCCCACGTCCAGTTTTATCAAGGATCTCTGAATAAGAGTGTCGATCCCACTTTCTGGATACAAATCGCAACCACTCCACATGTAGTAAGGTAAATTTTTGTGACTACCGATAAAAAAACATGCAATATCAAGGAAGATTTCCTTTTCATTGCGCGTCAACTCGTTGTAGCTAATCTTCAATCTCTCTTGCACCTTATTCTCGGTAGTAGAAGGTATCCCTTGTAACTCCATCAACTTTTCTTCCCAGAATTTCCTTCCTCTACGAAACAGAAGTGATCCTATCACCGTGAGAGCTAATGGAAGTCCAGCAGCAACTTTTACGAATTCCTCAGATATAGAGGCATCTTCCTTTGGAGGAATGTCCATCCCAAAAGCATGTTTGCTAAAAAGTTGCAGGGAAAGAGGACGACTCATTTCTCCTGGTTCATACAATTTACATTCTCGAAAATAATCTAAAGCTCTTTTATATCTTGTTGTAAACATAAACCTACTATCTAAAGAAAAATCACTCAAGTTCCCTAGAATCTTATCAAATTCAAACTTGTCATCTATGTCATCAATAACAACAAGCACCTTGTGTTTGCAAACCCTTTCCTTTATCATATTGATTCCCTCACTGACATTGTTAACTTGATAACTACCCTCCCTCAAAATGCTAGAGATAAGCTTATTTTGCAAAGACAAAGCCCCTTCGCTCTTTGTCAATGTTTCCCGTACATCTTCCAAGAAACAACAGCGATCAAATTGAGTGAAAATCTTGTTATAGACAGCTTTGGCTAGAGTGGTTTTACCTAAACCACCCATGCCATGAATGCCAACGACTTTCACTTCAGAGGAGGCTAAATTCAGTAATGTCATCACTCCTTCCACGTGACTATTGATTCCCACCAACTCATCAGTTACTAATGTGTAAATGCTCCTCAAATGAAACTCGACATCAGAAAGGATTTGCTCTATTATGCCTCCCTGACTGCAGCACCAATGGAAATATTCAAGATACACTACTGAGCAAGCAATTATAGTGAAGAGCAACAACATATTACTAGGGCTACATGTATAGATCCCTCGTGTATTGCAAGCTATCCGGGCCACGATTAGCGTTGTCCATTATAATTGCAGAAACCCTTTCATTTGGGAAGCCTAAAATCACTTTGATGAACCTTTTCTGGTTATGTAATAGCTTCTTTGCGTTTATTCAGAGAAATAACAGGATGTAGTCTAAGAGATTCAGCAGTGCATTATATCCAAAATAAATAAGCACCCACATCATCAAATTTAAGCTTCTGGTGGATGTTACCTGTCAGATTCAGTGACATGCCATCCTTTCATCTGCCCAACCTCCTGAAGGGCTTCTCTCCATTCCTTGACAGTTTCAGGGCTATGTTTTTGTGCATGTTGTTCAAAGGCCTGCTGATAAGGACCCTGTTGATGCCTCACATCTCTAGGGTCAACGAAGTAGAAAATGGGGAGGATGAGGTGACCCTTGTTTCCCTTCCAGCACTCCACCATTTGAGCCAATTCTTGAAGGCACCATTTGCTGGAAGCGTACCGTTGGGTTAGAACAGGGATGTAGATCTTGGATTCGGGGATGGCCCGGACTAGGGAAGGCGCAATCCCTTCCCCCTTGCGCAGCTCTTCCTCGTCCCTAAACGTGCGGATTTTGGCACGCGACAGCGAGGTGTAGAGATGATCGGCGAAGTTATTGCGGACGTCGGGACCCCTGAAGCTCAGGAAAACCTCGTACTCCCCAGCTGGAAGACGAGACGGCGACGCCGATGAAGAAGTGGGGACGGTTTTCATTTCCTTCGCAAATCAAAAAAGTTGAAAGGCTGCTGCAACAACGAACTAAAAGAACTGAATCTTTCGGGTTCGCTCGAGGAAGATGATGCAGGATTTTGGTTCATGGCTTTCAGCGAGCTAGCTAGTCTTTCTTTTTGAAGAGCAATACTGTTTGGAGTTTGGGGTAGAGAAAATTGGAAGGAAGGAAGAAAGAAAGGGAAAAGAAGTTGCAGCGAAAAACTTTGACTAGTTGCTGGGAATCCGCACGGAAGGAACTCGGAAGGTGTTTTCTCCGGTTTTCCTCCTACGGCGTCGTTTTAATTAGGTTCGTCGGGCTGAATTCTGTTTTTTTTTTATTCTTTTCAAATGGGCCTCTTACTCTTAGGGCTGTCAATTTGGTTCGGTTTGGTTAACCAAACCATTAAGTATGAAAAACCAAAAACCAAAAACCAAATCCCAAAAACCAAAACCAAAACCATTAAGGCCCTTATTGGTTTTTGGTTGCCAAAAACCAATAAGGGCCTTAATGGTTTTGGTTAACCAAAAAACCAACATGTACTCATACACTCGTATTTATTCATATTTCCCTTCTTTTTATTGAATTAATGTCATAATAATGATAAATGGCCATTACAAATTATTGGTTGGCTCAAAAGAAACAAAAAAAAATTTTGTTGATAAATAATTTCATTCTTATTGGTTTCTTAATGGTTTATATTGGTTTTTCGGTTTTAACCAAACCAAAACCATTAAGTTGCTTATTGGTTTAAAACCAAAAAACTGAAACCATTAGCTTTCCAATTGGTTTGGTTTCGGTTAAAACCAAAAAACCAAAACCAAATGGACAGCCCTACTTACTCTTGAGCCCAATCATTAATCCTTGTGTGAAGAAAACTCCTCGAGTGGATTAAAACCTAGAAGATGTTAAGAAACTTATTGATGTGACTTGAATCGGACTATCAGCCGTTACGATTGGTAATCGGGGGTCTCGCTGTTATGGGCTCAATGTTATTTGAGTTCGGATTCTGGGCCTGGTCTGTAACCGTTTCCTTTACCAGATTGGATTAGGTTTAGACCCACATGGAGAAGTACTATAAATACTTCTCATACTCCTCTGTAATCTGTAATCTCCTTGATATAGTGAAACTGGCTCTCTCTCGCCCGTGGACGTAGCTAACACACATCGTGTTAGTGAACCACGTAAATCGTGTGTCTGTATTTTTCGATTCTCGCTTTCGTATTCTTGCTTTGTCGACTCCAGCGATTTCCCGATCCGTAGCAGCGCGTTTATAACAATTTGGTTTCAATAATTCGAGTTGTTGGAAACAATACAATTAAAATCGCATTTTAAAATTTAAAAACTTACGATTTTACGCTTCTATGTCATCAAAAAGTTTTCGTTTCAATTCCACACAAAATCTTTAGTGCATAAAATCAGGCTAAATTCCGTCTCAAAGTTTAAAAGCTTACGTTTTTACGCTTCTAATTCACCAAACCGCTTAATGCTTTTACGTTTTTAGTTCACTAAATGGGTATTCTTTACATGAAATCAATTATAAAATGTATATTTTAAAAGGTAAATCGCCAACAATATGATATATTTGAGATTAAAAGATACATACCACATTTGGATGCATTCTCAGCTTCAATAGAGTAATCTAATTAAGCAGCTAGACCCTTCCCAAATTCATTGGCATAGAGGGGAAGGTGGCTTATTGTTAAGATCTATGTTTTATGAACTTATTGTTTAGATGCTATGAGTTGCTCTACTTTAGACATGAATTACAAGTATTTATCAACTTATCTACATTATGTGCACACATATTTTACATAATATATGTCGTACATAACATATTTTTAGTTATTTTTCAGTATGCGTCAAAAATTTACGCTTTGATTCTACATTTTACAATTTTACCCCTTTTTCGCTTCTAGTTAGAATCGCGCTTTTGACTGCATTGATTGGGAGAGGTTCAATCGTGAATCATAACTCGAGTTGTTGGGCTTCGGTCAAACTAACTAACCACGCCTCTGGTTAATGATTGGTCAAACTCATCTAATTTCGGCTGATGGCGCAAATTGCTGGGATGTGGGCCGGCCTTCTGGGCCAGGGAAGGTTTTCGGTTGGCATCTCTCTCTGTGCAGGGGCAGCAGCAGATCACCGCCTGTCCGGACGAATACGATGAAGGTTGTTGGTGGGCCGGCCAATGGGCCCAGTTCTCAATGGGAAAAAGTGGGTAAAGAGATAGTTTTGATGACTCACTTTTTTCTGGCAGTTACCCTCTTACATCTGGCAAGATATCAACCGTTGGATGGATGGATGGATGGCCCAGGGAAATTGAGTAAAGGCTTTCTCTCTCCCCGTCCCTCTCTCTCCGTTTCTCTTTTAACTTTGCCTGCAACTGCATGTTAGAATTGTTGACCCGGCCGGCCCACCCTCCTGATTTTAGGTGGTACGCTACTTGTTTGATTGGAACTAATTGTTTATCCACCCAAATCAAAATCGTTAAGGAACTTATCGATTTTTGGTTTAATCAAATCAAACCAAATCGATAGTGCTGATCGCGTTAATTAATCGGCGTTGTTCACTCACATGCTACCCTCAACATGTTTAGACAAGGTAGGTATAGGTGGATTGCCTAATGGGTTATTTAACTATGCGAATTTATTGAAAATTTAGTTTATAATTGACAAGTTAGGCATATCAATGACATTGTCTATCGAATACCTTCTTGTTCCTCAATTACTAAAGTGTGTCATTTACGAAGTAACACGTAGACCAACCTATATATTTCAAAGAGAGCGTAAAGCATTGCCATTTATGGTTTAACAATCGAGTGAAGTATGGAGTCATCAACGAAACCATACAAAAGTCAGTGACTTACCTAAGAATTGTAAAAAAAATTGACTTTTCATATATATGTGTGTGTGAGTGCGAGAGAGATAGATAGACTGAGACTTCCTAGTTCATTGTATTAAGCTAAATGGGATGCGAAAGAGAGAATATTAACGATGCACTATTATGTGACTAAAAGCAATGCAGCGACCATCTTACAAATAAGTAGCGAGACGATAATATGATGTCACGACTCCCATGTAAACTCTAAGTCTCAAAGAACAACTCTACCGTTTCGAACTAAGGATCATACATCTCTCCAAGTCTATTATGTAGGCCTTTAATAAACAATTAAACTATATATAATCGTACTTCTTCCATCAAAATTTGGTGTAATCCACAATGACTACTGACTAGTCCTCAGTCGATCGAAGTAAAATTAACCTTCCATGGCTGGTGAATACCGTGGAAAATGGAAATTAGTGGAGCTGATTAGCCATTGCGAGCCGTTGGGTCAGCGAGTCGCAAATAATTAAACCGCATGGTCCAAACGGACCGGTCCCACACCCAACATTCAACCGTTCTCATAAAAGAAAACCATTGGATTAAACCGAAGATTAGTTGAAAAGCGCAAACTAATTTGAAATTTTAAAAAATAATTAACCTAACAACTACAGACAATAATCCTCTTCCCCTTCTCCTTCCTCCCCTTATATCCATCAATGTCGGCCACCAAATTCACACACTCTTCACTCTCTCTTCTCCACTTCACTTCCCCCCCACTCTGCTCTCTCCCATCCATCAATGGCGTCTCTACTTCCCCACCTCCTCCTCCTCGTTTTCTCCTTCCAGTCCTTCTCCTCTTCCCCGGCGGCGGCAGCGGCCACCGACAAGAAGACCTTCATTTTCCGGGTCGATTCCCAATCCAAGCCCTCCATCTTCCCCACTCACTACCACTGGTACTCCGCCGAGTTCGCCGACGCCCCGCAGATCCTCCACGTCTACGACACCGTCTTCCACGGCTTCTCCGCCGTGCTGGCACCCGACTACGCCGCCTCCCTCGGCCGGCACCCCGCCGTCCTCGCCGTGTTCGACGACCGCCGCCGGGAGCTTCACACCACCAGATCCCCTCAGTTCCTCGGCCTCCGAAACCAGCGCGGGCTCTGGTCCGAGTCCGACTACGGCTCCGACGTCATCATCGGCGTCTTCGACACCGGGGTCTGGCCCGAGCGCCGGAGCTTCTCCGACGCGAATCTCGGCCCCGTTCCGTCCCGGTGGAAGGGGATCTGTCAAATCGGTGCGAGATTCACCGCGAAGAACTGTAACAAGAAGTTAATCGGAGCGAGATTCTTTGTTAAAGGCCACGAGGCCGCCGGTGGAGGCCCAATGGGCCCAATCGGCGGGATAAACGAGACGGTGGAGTTCCGCTCCCCGAGAGACGCCGACGGTCACGGGACCCACACAGCCTCCACGGCGGCAGGGAGGCACTCGTTTAAAGCGAGCATGGAAGGCTACGCGCTGGGAGTTGCAAAAGGGGTAGCGCCGAAAGCGCGTCTGGCGGTTTACAAGGTGTGCTGGAAGGACGCGGGTTGTTTGGATTCCGATATTCTCGCCGCGTTTGACGCGGCGGTTACCGACGGCGTCGACGTCATCTCGATTTCGATCGGCGGTGGGGACGGGATCTCGTCCCCGTACTACCTCGACCCAATCGCCATCGGCTCATACGGTGCCGTATCGAGGGGAGTCGTTGTTTCTTCGTCCGCAGGAAACGACGGCCCCAATTCGATGTCGGTTACCAATCTCGCTCCCTGGCTCGTCACCGTCGGTGCCAGCACGATTGACCGGAACTTCCCCGCCGATGTGGTGCTTGGAGACGGGAGGAAGCTCTCCGGCGTCTCGCTCTACTCCGGAGCATCTCTGAACGGGAAGATGTTCCCCGTCGTTTACCCTGGAAACACCGGCGTGCTCGCCGCCTCTCTCTGTATGGAGAATTCAATAGATCCGGCCGCCGTCCGGGGGAAAATCGTGGTGTGCGACAGGGGAAGCAGTCCCCGCGTTGCGAAGGGGATGGTGGTGAAAAAGGCCGGCGGTGTCGGGATGATTCTCGCCAACGGAGCTTCCAACGGGGAAGGTCTGGTCGGCGACGCGCATCTCGTCCCCGCCGCCGCCGTCGGCTCCGACGAAGGCGACGCGGTGAAGAAGTACATCTCCTCCACGCGCAACCCCACCGCCACGCTCAATTTCCGCGGGACGATCATCGGAATCAAACCGGCACCCGTCGTGGCTTCGTTCTCCGGCAGGGGACCCAACGGTATGAGCCCTGAAATTCTCAAACCCGATTTGATTGCTCCAGGGGTCAACATCCTCGCCGCCTGGACCGACGCAATCGGGCCGACGGGGCTCGAATTGGACACCAGGAAAACCGAATTCAACATCCTCTCCGGCACATCGATGGCTTGCCCTCACGTCAGCGGCGCAGCCGCGTTACTGAAATCGGCCCACCCGGATTGGTCCCCTGCAGCAATCCGCTCGGCGATGATGACCACGGCGAACCGGGTCAACAACATGAACCAACCCATGACCGACGAAGCCACCGGAAAGCCATCGACGGCGTACGATTTCGGAGCAGGGCATGTGAATCTTGACCGAGCAATGGACCCGGGTCTGGTCTACGACATCACAAACGAAGACTATGTGAACTATCTGTGTGGAGTTGGGTACAGTCCGAAAGCAATTCAGGTGATCACTCGAGTCCCCGTGAAATGTCCGGCGAAGAAGCCCATGCCGGAGAATCTGAACTACCCTTCGCTGGTGGCCATTTTCCCCAGCTCGTCCAGAGGACCGACGAGCAAGGCGTTCATCAGGACCGTGACGAATGTGGGCGAATCGAATGCGGTTTACCGGGTTACCGTCCAGCCTCCGAAAGGGGTGATCGTGAATGTGAAGCCGAGGACACTGTCGTTCGCCGGAGCGGTGAAGAAGCGGAGCTTCATCGTGACGGTGACCGTGGATGCTCATCATCTGGTGTTGGATGATACCGGTGCTGCGTTTGGGTCGATTTCGTGGTCGGATGGGAAGCAGCATGTGGTCAGGAGTCCCATTGTTGTGACTCAATTAGACCCGCTGTGATGATGAAAGTGGAAGAAGCTTCTTTACTTCAATGTGGTTTTGAAGACTCGATCAAATTGTCCTTTTTGATCGGGGTGGTAGCCATTAGCATGTTAATTATATAGCTTGGATGGAAATGATGATGAAGAAGAAGCTTGGTTTTATGTGTTTTGTTTATCTTTACCTCTAGGGTAGTAGTTGACGAAGGGTCATGTTTTGACCTTTTGTTTTTAGTTTTATCCATGTAATGTTTGTAATGTATGTATGAACTTTTGATAAAGTTTATATATAAGCACTATAGCAGTGAAGTGATATCTCTAATCAGCGGTCTGATCAGAAACATCTCTGATTTGACGATATTTTTAGAGGTATGAAATGGTTAAACTACGATTAAATTATGGTTTTGCATGCATGAAACAGCTTATCACTAATTTTTTCAACACAATTTCCGTTACGAACTTACAATCATCGAATGGAGGTATGACTAAACTACTGTCAAAACTACATGACTCATAATTTGAGTATGTAGTGCCAGCGATGAAGGTGTGATTAACTAACCAAGAAACACGAATGCTAATTCGAAAGTCGAGCATATGAAATAGAAGCTCGTGCCTTGCATTGCATGCAATCTATCACGGGTAAATCTAAGAATAGGGAGAGTGGATTGCGCCTAGGATGGGGGCCTTTGAGGAACATACCCAATAGTCAAATGTAGCAAGTTACTTTGGGATCCTACGATGAAATTGATTAAGATTTTGGTGTTGACAACCTTTACCTTTTGTTCCCCTACCAAAACCTACGGCTAGCTACCAAAATCATTGAGAATGGTAAAAAGGGTAAAAACTCGAGGGTGAATGGATGTGATGGGTAAAAGGTAAAAAGTAAAATTCCATAATTGCATATCATCGTGTTTTACCCACGACACAAATCCGGGTATTGAGACAGGAATTGTAATAATGCAATTGAATGAAGATGACCCACAGCAATGGTGATGCAGGGGAATCTACAGTCTATTGTTAATCACATCATATCCAACAAAGTCTTTGGCTTTTGGATGCATGCCTAATTTAAAGACAGCTGATTGAATTAAAACAATGGGACAAAAACTAAAGGGAAAGGCTGAAAAGGACTTGGAATGAAGATCTACCCTTTATCTCTTTTGGAATTGTTTGTCGCCTTTGATCTGTCAAACGACCTAAGGGCTAAGGCTAAACTAATTGAATAAGATAGAAATCTGATCAAAAGAAGAAGAAGGGAGGGAAAAGGAAGCAAACCCAGATAAAGAAATCATCCCCCATAATTGATAAAGGATCCAATTCCCCTTTTTTTAGTATTATGATGAGAATGATGATGATGATTCAAAGGAGCCCGGTGAATGATGAAATGGAAATCATGATGATGGTGTTCCTGGGTTAATGTCACATGACCAAAGCTGAAAACTTTAGGTAGAGCCCACAACCATGATTAAGATAGGAGACACGATGATCTGGCTATTTAGCCAAGAAAAAGTACAGGGAAAAAAGAAAATAATGGATGTGCTCTGTTTTTCGGGTTTTTTGGGTTGATAGGAATGGCTAGAGCAATTGCAGCCACAGCCGGGTTTGATGCCAAAACGAAATAAAAGCTGTTGCTTTCAAGTTTCGAGTTAGTCTTCAACTTCCTTTCCTCCGCACTGTGTTTCTTCTGTGGAGATTTTCTTGGAATAAATGATTTGCCATGGCTGCTACTTGGAAATTCCTCTGTTCTTTACTACAGAGTACAGGGCACATGTTCTTTATGTTCTGCTTGAGCTTTCTCCATGTGGAATCACTGACTCTTTGTGCCTGTTGCTTGAAGATTAAGCTTGTGTCCTGGTCAGAATATATGGCACATACACAGTTTCAGTTTTATAAGTGGTGTAGATTGGTTTGGCATATATCTATCTCATTCCCCTGTGTGGCAGGAGGGAATAGTATCTTGGAATTGTCCCTTCCATTCCTATCATCCATCAACTTTGTTAGAAATGCAAGTAATATGGTGCTTCTTCAGCAATTCTTATCTCAAATAGCAGCATCAGGAGTTAATTTTTTGAATCTGCAGTTTAAGTAGATTTATTTTCTTGTCTTTATTACGATGTTCACCATGTTCGTTTCTAAACTATTCTGACTATCGAAATTACATGACTTCTATGGGAAAACAATCTACTTTTTTCCCCCCCCTTGACATTTCAAAGACTTTGGTTAGTCATCGACTTCTGCCCCTTTGGAAATTGAAATACCCTGTAGCAAGACATCCTTTAAGAAGCACAAAGTAGCCCTGCATTATTGTATGCCCCAACAAATATTAAAGTTAAGATTTGTCATTTCGCACCAATGAATGTGTAAGTCATTGTCCATTGGGAACCCACCAAACAAAATCCTAACTTTTCAGAGAATTTCACACCTTGAACTCGAACCCTTTTCTGATTGGGTTCAAGCTGCAACTATTGGACTATCCCCAATTAACCAACATCTCAACCACAATCATAATGCATCAAACCATTAACAAAACTACTCCCGGGATCCTTACTCAAACCTTTGTTCTCTATCCTCAATCTCAATGCTTCAGCATCTTCAAACCTTCCAACTGATGCATATAAATTCGACAAGAGCACAACCTCACCTGACTCCTCGTACTCCTGCTCAAATACCCTCCTTGCAGCATGCTCAGCAACCTGCAAATCACCATGAACAGAACATCCACCGAGCAAAGCCTTCCAAGCATTCAGGCTCATTTTCTCAGGGAACTTCTTAGCAAACCCACTTGCATCATCGACAAATCCTGCTCGTGCTAGCAAGTCGATAACACAACCAAAATGCTCTTCGCTCGGCTTCACTTTACCATCTTCCACCATCTGATTGAATATCATCACACCTTCATCTATTAACCCTGCATGACTGCAAGCAGTAAGTACAGCTGAATAAGTCGCACTATCAGGTTCTTCATTGCCGTCTTTCAGCATTTCATGATAAAGGGCAACAGCATGTTCTCCTTGGCTGTTGATACCATAGCCAGATATAATCATATTCCAAGAGGCCACATTGCAAAAAGGAACCATATCCTTGAATACAATATGCGCAAGTTGGACATTTCCACACTTGGAATAAGCTGATATAAGGCTGTTTGAAGTTGGTACATGATGTGCATATCCCATCTTGGATGCATAGCAATGAAGCTGCAGGCAGAACTCGAAAGCAGAAATTTCACCGCAAGCAATTATAGCACTGCTAATCGACACTGAATCAAGGGAACACCTGTAATCCCACCTTGTCTTGCCCATGAGATCCAAAGCTGCTCTTGCATGGCCATTATTTGTCAGTCCTGAGATCATAGCAGTCCAAGTGACCGGACTCTTCTCAGCAGTTCCATCAAAAAGAGTGCTTGATGAATCCAAGTCGCCACACTTCAGGTACATCTTGATGAGGGAATTTACAACAGTAAGCTTTGTTAGCAGTCCAAGGAATACAGCTTGAGCATGGACTTGTCTTCCCACATTCAAGTTTCCTAAAGCTGCAGAAACCAAAATAAGATGCATGATTACTACTGCATCAACATAAAACCCATTGCCCTTCATTTCAAAGTAGAGCCTAATAGCCCCAAGGGCATCTTCTATGCCAACCAATAATCCCATCATGGTTGTCCAACTGATAATGTCTTTACATTCCATCTCCTGGAAAACTTTGCCGGTTGCAGAAATGTCCAGGAAACTTGAGTACATGCCAATAACTGCATTGTTAACAGAAACATCCAATCCAAGGCCTAGCTTAATAATTAAACAATGAATTGATTCAGAAAGAATCCTAATCCCTAAGCCAATACAGCCTCTAATAAGGGTCAACATCGTAGACGAATTAGGAGTTAAACCAGCCTTCCTCAACTTTCCGAAAAGCACAAAACTTTCCCTGCATAGCCCATTGGCAATAAATCCCGCTACAATGGCATTGCACGAGACCAAATGCAAGTCCTTCAGCTCCTCAAACACTTTATAAGAATCGAACACGTTTCCACATTTGGCATACATGTCCAACACTGCGGTTGCAACGATCGACTCCGACTGCAACCCACTTTTGACGGCAAGTCCATGCACAGACCTGCCGAGGACCAAGTCAGACAAACCGGCGGTACTAATGAGGACTCCAACCACAGTGAAGGAATTGGGGACCAAACCGGAGTGACGCATCTGGGTGAACGCATTGATCGACTTCACGTGATGCCCATTGATGGCGTAGCCGTGAATAGCAATGGACCACGAGACTACGTTTCTGTCAGACATTTTATCGAACAGCTTCTCTGCATCCGAAACCCTTCCCGATTTGAAGTACGCACCAAGGAGATTGGTGGAATTGTGCGGTTCAAGGCGGGAAGCGTGACTCCGGGATAATGTACAGACGTAGCGGAGACGCAAAAGCGCAGACGGTTTGCTCTGAGCCAGCCATGGATTCATGAGAGGAAATCTGGAGCATGGTCTTCGGTTTGAAATTTAGCGCCCTCTAGATCCGCCTACCCGCCATAATTTAATCAGTAATGTACAGACTTTTGGGCCTTAAGCTTGTGCCTAGCCCATACAAAATGAGTAAGACGTATGGGCCGTGAGTGGATTATGGGTAAGCCCAAACTGTGTGGCGTTACTGGATCTAAGGATACTGGGCTGTGGTTCGGTGCGTGTTCTTTTAAAACGCTGACCGACAAGAGTAGCGGTTAATACGCGGGAGAATCAGAGACAGCCACGTGTTTTTTCTTCTCCTTTCCCACGGAAACCCGACACGTGTCCTACTCCCCATTTTTCTTGGACTGTAAGAGTTTCCCCTATCCCTCTCTTCCTTCTCTCCATAAAAGCCAACCATTCGATCGATTGGATTCCAAAGATCAAAAGCTTTTCCTGCAGAAAAATGGAGTCTTCCAGGCAAAAACCCCTCTACCCAGAAGTAATCCTCTCCAACCCAGAAAGGCCCGTTTCCACTACTGCTTCCTCTTCTTCAGCCCCATCTCTTTACCCGACGATCGACATGTCGGATCTCGCAGAGAATCTCTTCCCGGAGAACGATACCGCCATGGCGGAGACGGCCCCACAGGAGGAGCTTCTGATCAGAATCCCGGGCGCCATAGTCCACTTGATCGAGAAGGATCACAGCGTGGAGCTCGCCTCCGGGGATCTGGACATAGTTACACTCAAGCAGGGGGAAACCGTCGTTGCGGCATTTTGTCGAATAGGTGGCGACATCCAGTGGCCGCTGGCGAAAGACGAGGCCGCAGTGAAGCTCGACCAGTCCCACTACTTCTTCTCGCTTAGGGTTCCTTCGGGGGGTCAAGAATTCAGCGACGAGGAGGACGAATCGAGGGGAAGTGGGAGTCAATTGGAGGTCTTGAACTACGGGGTGACGTTTGGTCGAAAGGGCAGGAGGGTTCGTTGAGGGAATTGGATAGGGTGTTGGAGAGTTACAGCGCGTTTTCGGTTCAGGAAGTGAGGGAGAAAGGGATCGACGGAAATGTGGCGAGGGAGACTACGCCGGAGGAGTTTGGGAAAGAAGGGAAGAAGAAGGAGTTGATGAAGGAGAACTCTGCGACCTATTGGACCGTTCTGGCGCCGAATGTGGAGGATTACAGCACCTCAATTGCTAGGATGATTGCGGCGGGATCGGGGCATGTGATCAAGGGGATTCTGTGGTGTGGCGATGTGACTACGGATAGATTGAAATGGGGGAATGATTTCTTGAAGAAGAGGTTGAAGAAAGGTGACAGTGTGGATGTCAGTCCAGCAGCTCTGAGAAGGATCAAAAGGTGAGAAATTGAGGATGATTTTAGTTCTTTTTCTAGTTATCTGCTTTGGTTCGTCATTAGCATTTTGCTTCATTTCACTTTGCTGGTTTACTTAACGGATGGCTGATAGATAATCATTGGGGGAAGTCTCAAGTCTGAGACTTTCAACTGGTTCGTTGAACTTAAAACGGTGAAGTTGAAATGGGTAATCGTGGATTCCAAGTTTTCTATAATTAGATGAGTGGACTGCTTTTTCCCCGCTTAGTGTGAACTCCTAAGAATCAAGTTTGACAATCGTATGACTCAGTTTCCTGTGATGATTTAGTTTTCTCTTCATGTTTGTAGCAGGTCAATGCAACACAAGTCAAGTGTAACTGACAGTATGTCTTGTGGCATTTGCAGGGTTAAGATGTTGACGAAAAGTTCAGAAAAAGTGGCTCTTGGGATCCTGTCTGGGGTAGTCAAAGTTTCTGGCTTCTTTACAAGTCCTATTGTGAACTCTAAAGCAGGGAAGAAGTTTTTCAGCCTGTTGCCTGGAGAAATCGTCCTTGCTTCCCTGGATGGATTTAGTAAGTGCAATTTATTTAAGCCGCCTGAATCATTGCTAGGTGTAGCAGTTCATAATGGGATGCGTATAGGCACTTTAACTGTTGGATCACTATGAATGCAACGGCTGCCGACTATTGAACTTGGAACTGTTATTCACTTATTCCCATATCTCTAGACGAAGAATGAATGAACTGTTTACAAATGGAGCATTGTATTTTCTGCATGGTCCTCCATGGCTCCATCTAACCAATTTCTGCCTGTCCCGTGTGATTGTGCAGACAAGATTTGTGATGCTGTTGAAGTTGCTGGAAAGAATGTCATGTCAACCTCATCAACAGTCACAACTGGGCTCGTCTCCCACAAGTATATCTCAGCTCTCATAGTAGTTTATATATACTCACTACCTTATGCCGAGCGACCTGGCTATCGCATGTCTCATCAGTTCTTCTAAAACCAAGAAATCACATCTTAGAAGAACTTGGTGCATGAATGTAGTCCTTAGTTTGTGCCTGAGTTTTATGTTTATTACGGGCCTTGTTGAAATGCAGGTATGGAGACCAAGCAGCGAGTGCGACAAGTGAAGGGTTTGACACTGCAGGGCACGCCATTGGCACCGCCTGGGCCGTGTTCAAGATAAGGAAGGCTCTGAACCCAAAGAGTGCTTTCAAGGCAACATCTCTAGCCAAAGCAGCTGCAAAGGCTAGCGCTTCTGATCTCAAGTCTAAATCCTCGAAGTAAGGACAAGCCAGGGATGCTGGTTCTTGTTTTACTTATGTTACAATGAATGATGGAATTTGTTTGTAACCATATATATTAGATTTGTTAGCGCTGTACTGAAACAGAGTATGTGCTTTCTTTTCAATTTGTAAGCAACAGTTTCAGAGCAAGGCTCCGATGAGTAATGTATAGCCTTGAAACACTTCAAATTTTCACATGATGAACAGGAAAATCTGAGAGTTTTTGCGTGTTAAACAACAGAACCATATCGTGGATTTGTTTGCTTGCTTGCACTTGAAAGTTCAGACAAAAGACAAGGAATCAAAGGGAAAATGGAAGAAGAGGAAGAGACGAATCTTTTGACATTGTTAAGTGTGTCGACATAAAAAAAAGTTTTTAAGTGTGTCGACATGAAAAAGAAAGCCAAGTTGTCATGCCTCCGAGCCACATAAACAAACAAAATTCTGAAATGAAGGGTGATCATGTAATATACCGAAATGTAGCGAGAAAGAGTTATGAAGAAAGGCAACACGATATAACAAGTTGATAGCTTTGTGAAAAAGAGTTTGACGACCCGAGACTGATTTTGTATTGAATTTTTTCGACGAGATGCAAGGAGTTGAAGTTCTTGTAATAAAAGAGAAATTGAGACTTCATTTTTTAAGAAACGATATCATATGGGCGACTCAATCAATTTTTTCACCTAATGAAGTCTAAATTGGTAAGCGGTATAGAAAAGGGCCGAACTATGACTTCAATACAAAATACTTTACTAATGATTTTTCCGGTATGACATCTGATATGGTTTTATAATTCTTGCTATCAAGCTCAATGTTGACCCAAAATTGGCATCTGTGTCGTGCCACTTATGAATTATTTGAAAATTAGAATTTCAGGCAATACATGTAATTAAAAAATAAATTAAAAAACATTCATTATGAATAATTATCAAGCTGAGATTGTCATTCTTTTTTTTTTCTTCCTCATTTATTGAGGGAAACATCAAAATCATTTGACTTCCAAACAATATATTTTTTGAAATTCATGCATTTAAACAAAAAAAATCTAGGAATACTCGATTAAATATAGTTATTTAAGTAATTCTAACTACCAAATATGTACTTATTCTAGTTCTACCATCCTAATTGAGATATTAAAATACTATGATACAAAATTGTCGTACATGAGATTTCAATATAATTTTCACATCTTAGAATCGAGTTTGTTAGTGTCCCACGTGTATCTTTATCCACCCTCCTCCTGGTGGCAATAATGGCTAGGATTTTTTTTTTTTTTTTACAAAAGATAATCATATATTGATCCCAAAAAAAGATAGTTATACCCTGGATCCAAGCCAGGTACAAAAATCAAAAGAACGACTCATAGTCGGGTCAAAAAGAGGGCTTTCCTAGCCACCAAATGGGCTACCCTATTACTACTCCGACCTATAAATCGCACACTAAACCCAGGGGTGCTACCAAAATAATGTAAGACTTCCTCCAGCACAGCACCCATCCGGTTATCCCTAGCATCCTTGCAGTTGATTTTATCAATGATGACCTTGGCATCCCCTTCGAAGCGCATCCCCGTGAATCCCTGACCCACACACCAAGTAATGGCCTCCCTGAGCACAAGCAACTCCACGACCACCGGGTCATCAATCCCCCGAAACTGGAACCCGTGAGCCATAAGAACATCCCCCGAGGGAGCCAGAAGAACCATGCCACCTGCAGAATGCGATCCCTTCCTGGTAGCCCCATCCCACTGGCAAATAAACCCTGCAGCCTGACCCGGTCCACCTGGCCGCGGAACCGCCGGGGGAGAAGGCGTGATGGGCACATCCACCGGCATCCCCACCCATTCCTCATACTGTTGGAAAAACTGCCTCATCAGCGCGGGAAACCCAAACTACTTTCCTTCAAACACTACCCAATTTCTCGAACACCAGATGCACCAAAGGACAGAGACTACTGCCATGAGGAGCGTCGGCTGCTGAATTAAGGCCATTAAGCGTTTAAGAAACAGAGGGAAAGTATGGCGAGGCAAACCCTCCCCTAGGTATTCTAACCCGGAAAGCCCCCAGAGCTCACGCGCAACCGGACAATCCAGAAACAGATGCTCCATTGTTTCCGGGCCAGGATTGATAGTAAATAAGCTAGGAAAATACATCGACAATTATTGGGGAGATTAACCTCAGATCGAATATGTAATATGTAGTTTTCAAAATTCAATTTCGAAAAAATCACCCAAAAAGTTATGAAAATTTCCTTAAAATAATTTCGCCTAAATTTGCGATTAAAAAACTTTATCATTAGTGGAGAATAGTCTCTGACAAAATTCATGATCAGTAGCTTTCAAAATTCAAAGAAAAGGTCTTTCAAAAAATCGCCCAAAAATTACGAAAAGACATGCGAAAATATTCTCCTGACAATTAATAGACATTATCATTGGTGGAGAATAGCCACACACCGAATTTTTGATCTGTAGCCTGTAAAATCCAAGAAAAATAGCCTTTCAAAAAATCAGACAAGAAATTACGAAAATGCCCTACAATAAAATCTGTCATATCGGCTATTAATAGACTTATCATTGGTGGATAATAGCCTCAGGCTGAATCCATGATCTGTAGCTTTCACAATCCAGGAAATGGCCTATCGAAAAAATCTACCTAAATCAGTGTTTAATACACTTAATCATCAGTGAAGAATAGCCTCAAGCCGAATCTGTGATATGTAGTCTTCAAAATCTAAGGAAAATGGAAATTGAAAAATCACCCAAAAAGTAATGAAAATGCCCAACGAAAAAATTCACCCAAATCGGCGATTAATAGACTTTATCATTGGTGCATAATAATCTCAGGCCGAATCCATGATCTGTAGCCTTCACAATCAAAGGAAAATGGCCGATAAAAAAATCTCCCAAAATTTGTGATTGTACCTCTTTGGAATATGCAAAAAATGGAATTTTTGTAGTTTTTTTTGTCGATTTTTTCAAAATGTCATTTCTTTAGATTTTGAATGCTACAGATCACGGATTAGAATTGAGCATATTCTTTACTAATGATTGATTCCATTAAATACCGATTTGTCCGGATTTCTTTCAGATATATTTTTGGCAGATTCCAAAGAAGTACAATCACAAATTTCAAAAGATTTTTCCCAAAACGACAATTTTCATTATATTTTGAAAGTTAAGGATCATGAATCTGGCCTGACTCCACCGATGATGAAGTCTATTTATTCTAATCTTTACCGATGATTAAGTCCATTATGCATTGATTTTGGCGGATTAATTTTCTAATAATATTTTTCATAAATTTTTGGTTGATTTTTTTAAAGACAAATTTTCTTAGATTTTGAAGACTATAAATCATGAATTCGGCCAGAAAATATTAATCAACCATGATTAAGTCCATTAAACACCAATTTGGGAGAATTTCTTCCGTGTTTGTTTTTGACAGATTCCAAAGTGGTATCATCACAGATTTCGGGCGATTTTTCAAAAATACAATTTTCTTTCGATTTTGGATGCTACAGATCATGAATTCAGCCCGAGACTATTCTCCATTGATAATGAATTATATTGATCCGATTCTCCATCGATGATTAAGTCTATTAAGTACTGATTTGGGCGAATATACTTTTGAATAACGTTTTCGTAATTTTTGGCCGATTTTTTTCGAAAGGCTATTTTCTTAGGATTTTGAAGGCTACAGATCACGGATTCGGTGTGAGGCTATTCTTCAACAATGATTAAGTCCATTAAGCACCTATTTGGGCGAATATCTTCCAAGTCCATTTTTTGCAGATTCCAAATGGGTACCATCACAAATTTTCGATTTTGGAGGTCTATTGATCCTATTTTCCACCGATGATTAAGTCCATTGAGCAAAAATTTGGCGAACATATTTTTGAATGACATTTTCATAATTTTTGGGTTGTTTTTTTCGAAAGGTCATTCTCATTTGATTTTGAAGGATACAGATCACGGATTCGGCCTGGCGCTGTTCTTCAACGATGATTAAGTTCATTAAGCACCGGTTTGGGCGAATGTTTTCTGGGTCCATTTTTGTCAGATTCCAAAAGGGTATAATCAATAATTTTGGGCGATTTTTCCGAAATACCATTTTCTTTCGATTTTGGATGCTACGGATCGCAGATTTAGTCCCAAGCTATCCTCCACTAATAATGAATTTATTGATCTGATTCTCCACTGATGATTAAGTCCATTAAGAATCGATTTGGGCTAATTTATTATCGGATGACGTTATTGTAATTTTTTGGCCATTTTTATAAGGCGATTTTCCTTGAATATTGAATGCTATAGATCACAAATTCGGTCTGAGGCTATTCTTCAACGATAATTATGTTCATTAAGCACCAATTTGGGAAAAAACTTCCAGGTCCATTTGTGGCAGATTCCAAAGGGTTACCATCACAAATTTCGCGTTTTTTTTTTTTGCCGAAATGCCATTTTCTTTCGATTTTGAAAGCTGCGGATCATTGTTTCGACTCAAGTCTATTCTCCACCAATGATGAAGTTTATTGATCCTATTCTCCACTTATGATTAATTCCAGTGAGCTCCGATTTGAGCAAATTCATTTTCGGATGACATTTTCTTATTTTTTTTGGGTGATTTTTAGAGGCCATTTCTCTTGAATTTTGAAGACTACAGATCACGAATTCGGTATGAGACTTGTTCGACGATGGTTAAGTCCATTAAGCACCGATTTGGACGAATTTATTTCAGGGAATACTCACAAATTTCGGGCGATTTTTACGAAATGTCATTTTCTTTCGATTTTGGGTGCTACAGGTAGCGGATTCAGCCCAAGGCTATCCTCCAGTGATAATGAAGTCTATTGATCCGATTCTCCAAAAATGAAGTCTATTAAGTCCATTTAGCACCGATTTGGGAGAATTTATTTTTGGATGACATAATCATAGTTTTTTGGCTGATTTTTTTCGAAAAGCTATTTTCCTTGGATTTTGTATGCTACAGATCACGGATTCGCCCTAAGACAATTCTTCAACGATGATTAAGTCCATTAAGCACCGATTTGGGCAAATTTCTTCGTGCCCATTTTTGGCTGATTCCAAAGGGGTACCATCACCGATTTCTGACGATTTTTCCGAAATGCCATATTTGATTTTGGATACTACAGATCGCGGATTCAGTCCGAGTCTATTCTCCACTCATAATTAAGTATATTGATCCGATTCTCCACTGATGATTAAGTCCATTAAGCACCAATTTGGACGAATTTATTTTTAGATGACGTTATTGTAATTTTTTGGCTGATTTTTTTTTGGAAATGTCATTTTCCTTGGATATTGAAGGCTATAAATAATGGATTCGGACTGATACTATTCTTTAACGTGGATTAAATCCATTAAGCTCCGATTTGGAAAAATTTCTTACGGGTTCATTTTTTGTATATTTCAAAGGGATATCATCACAAAATTTCGGTCGATTTTTCCGAAATGCCATTTTATTTCGATTTTTCGAGGCTATTCTCCACCGATAATGAAGCCTATTGATCCTATTCTGTACCTTTGATTAAGTCAATTAAGCATCGATTTGTGCAAATTTATTTTCGGATGACATTTTCATAATTTTTTGGGCGATTTCTTTCGAAAGACCATTTTCCTTTGGAATCTGCCAAAAATGGTCCTGGAAAAATCCACCCAAATCGGTGCTTAATAGACTTAATCATCAGTGAAGAATAACATTATGTTGAATCTGTGATATGTAGCCTTCAAAATCGAAGGAAAATGGTCTTTCAAAATATCGCAAAAAAATTACGAAAATGCCCTCCTAAAAAATTCCGCTCAAACTAGAGATGGCAAAAATATCCACAATCGTAGATATTTGCCCGAATTCGACCTAATCGGGTAGGGTAAAACCCAAACTCGAAGGATTTTCACCGGGTACGGGTAAAACCTGAAACCGTCCGATTATACACATGGATATGTATTTTTTACGGAAATGATCATTATTTTTCTCAACATATTTTATATTTAGCATACAAATATAATATTTTCATGAAATTTTGTTGTTTTTAGTTAATTTTCTTCATTCTAGTGAATAGTATTTATTTTCGTACTTTTCACTTCTGTAATGTGAGTATACATGTGAATGTTAAGATGTTGGACTTTGCTACGGTGACATGCATGTCACGGTGACATGCACTTTTCGGTCGACCTCATATAGGATCCGGTCGACCTAATCAGTTGTTTCAGTGTAAAAACAGTTTCATGGTGCCTACTTTGGAGATTCATATCTTACAATTGGCTAGATGGAAATTGGAGATTAAAGGCTTGTTTTGAAGCTGAAGTGTCCCTCTACACATTAAAGTACTTGGGAGCTCAATAGAAAGTCCAGAAGACCATTTTTGAACCTGACCAAAAGGCTATGCCAAAACTGGGAAACTGCCTGAAAATGGCCAAGTCTGGCAACCTGTTTGTCAAGCCTACTTTGGAGCTCAATTTGAGAAGCATGGATGTGAGTCAAGTCAAGGGGCCTCTACCACGTTAAATTACTTAATTTTTTATACAAAGGCAAGGCATTGAATGAAAGATTGAATATCTTTAAGGCTCCAAACAAAAGGCTCGAAGTTGCTACGAAGGCTGTTTTTCTGGCAGCTTGCTTGTGCTCGAAGTCTGCCAGAAAAACAGCCTTCGTAGCAACTTCGGCCCTTTTGTTTGAAGTCTTAAAGATATCCAATCTTTCATCCAATTCCTTGAATTTGTATAAAAACATACCTAATTTAACGTGGTAGAGGCTCCTGGACTCGACTCGCATTCATGCTTCTCGAATTGCGCTCAAAAATAGGCTTCACAAACACGTTTCCAGACTTAGCCATTTCTAGGCAGTTTCCCAGTTTTGGCATAGCCTTTTGATGAGGTTCAAAAATGGTCTTCTGAACTTCCTATCGAGCTCTCAATCACTTCAATATGTAGAGGGACACTCCAGCTTCAAAACAATTCATTAGTCTTTAATTTCCATCTAGCCAATTGTATGATATGAATATCCAAAGTAGGCACCATGAACTGTTTTTACACTGAAACAACATATTAGGTCGACCGGATCCTATATGAGGTCGACCGAATCCTAAATGAGGTCGACCGGATCCTATATGAGGTCGATCGAAGTCTAACTGAGGTCGACCTAATTCTAACTGAGGTCGACCGGAAAGTGCAAGTCACCGTGACATGCATGTCACCGTAGGCACACCCTAAGATGTTGGTTGGAGTTACAAAGAGAAAAAATTACCCATGGATACCCAAAAACCGAATGGACATGGCATGCTTTTGATTTTCTGCCTGATTGTGATGTGAGTATGGGTAAGAGTAAAACCAGAACTACTTTGGGTAGGGTACGAATATGCACTATCTGCACCCGACCCGACCCGTTGTCATCTCTAGCCCAAATCGGTGCTTAATAGAGTTAATCATCAGTGGAAAATAGCCTTAGACTAAATTCATGATATGTAGTCTTCAAAATTCAAAGAAAATATCCTTTCGAAAAACTCACGCGAAATCTGTGATAGCCATTTTTTAATATGCCAAAAATTGCCCCAAAAAATCCTCCTAGATCGGTGCTTGATAGAATTAATCATTGTGAATAATAGCCTTAGGCTGAATATGTTATTTGTAGCTTTCAAAATCCAAGGAAAATGGAACTACCGAAAAGAGCACAAAAAATTACGAAAATGTCCTCCAAAAAATTGCACAAATCGGTTCTTAATAGAATTAATCATCGTTGGCGAATAGCCTCATGACGAGAACGTGATTAGTTCCCTTCAAAATACAAGAAAAATGGTCTTTCGAAAAAATCACCCGAAATCTGTGCCGACCCCTTTGGAATATGCCAAAAAAAGCACGGAAAACATCCGCCCAAATTGGTAATTAATAGACTTATATTCATCAGTAAATAATAACAGCAGGCTCAATCTGTGATCTGTAGCCTTTAAAATCAAAGGAAAATGACATTTCCAAAAATCGCCCAAAAATAATGAAAATTCCCTCCTAAAAAATTCCTCTCAAATTGGTGCTTAATATACTTAATCATCAGTGGAGAATAACCTCATGTTGAATTCGTGATCTGCAGTCTTCAAAATTAAAAGAAAATGGGTTGTTGAAAAAATCCCACGAAATCTCTGATGGTACCCCTTTGGAATTTGTAAAAAATGACCGAGAAAAAAATCCGCCCAAATCGGTGCTTAATAGACTTAATCATCGGTGTAGAATAACCTTTGGCTAGATATGTGATTTAAAGTTTTCAAAATCCAAAGAAAATGGCCTTTCCAAAAATTGCCCAAAAAATAATGAAAATGTCCACCGAAATAATTTTGTTCGCTTAACAGACTTAATCAACGGTGGAAAATAGCCTTAAGCCGAATCCGTGATCTGTAGCCTTCAAAATCCAAGATATATGACTTTTCAAAAAATTAGCCCGAAATTTGTGGTGGTACTCCTTTGGTTTTTGGAATCCGCCAAAAATGACCTCGGAAAAAATTAGTTCAAATTGGTGCTTAATATACTTAATCATTAGTGAAGAATAGTATTCAGGCTGAATCTGTGAACTGTAGCCTTCAAAATCTAAGGAAAATGGAAATTCCAAAAATCGCTAAAAAAATTACCTAAATGCCCTCAGAAAAATTTCCGCCCAAACCGATGCTTAATAGACTTAATCATTGATGGAGAATAGCCTCATGTCGAATCCGTGATCTGTAGCTTTCAAAACCTCAGGAAAATGACCTTTCCAAAAAGCGCCTGAAATCTATGATGGTGCCTATTTGAAATCTGCCAAAAATAACTCCGGAAAAAATTCACCTAAATAGGTGCTTAATAAGCTTAATCATTGGTGAAGATTAGCCTCAGACCGAATATATGACATGTAGTCTTGAAAATTCAAAGAAAATGATATTTATAAAAATAAAAATTCAAAAAATGCCCTCTATAAAAATTCACAAAAATTGACGATTTATAGACTTTATCATTAGTAAAAAATAGTCTCAATTCGAATTCGTAAACTGTAGGCTTCAAAATATAAGGAAAATAGTCTTTCGATAAAATGGCTCGTAATCTGTGATGACCCCTTTTGGTATATGTCAAAATTATTGGTCTTTCGAAAAAATCGCCCGAAATTTTTGATGATACCCCTTTAGAATATGCTAAAAATGACCTCAGAAAAAATCTATCAAAATCGATGCTTGATAGGCTTAATCATCGATGAAGAATATCGTCAATCCGATTTCATTACTTATACCCTTAAAAATCCAAAAAAATAATATTTTAAAAAAGTCTCTCAAAATTTGTTGTGATGATATCTTTTGGAATTTGCCAGTCTAGGCCAAAATTCTCTTCTCCTTTATAGACTTTTAATTACAGGATAACTATGTTATTCCCCTGTCAAACGCGCTTTCGTTGAGACACACGCCACTCTAATCAATCGTCCGATTCGGAACAAAACTAGGCTGAAAATTGAACGTACTGCCCAGCGACGGCGATGGTAGGTTCCAAAGCTGCGATTGAGGTGGCGAAGACGGTCATCGAGGTGGCCGACGTGGCGTGGACGGCCATGGAGTTCAACCACCACCACCTCCACACCCACGATCAAGAAGAGACCGGTACGCAGGCCAAAGCCGCGGAATCTATGTCGGTAGATGAAGAATTGATAGCCTTGAGATCCGAGAATCGGCGGTTGAAGAGCTTGCTCGAGCACAATCTCAAGCTCCTCCAGAATTTGTCAGAATCGCCTCCGTTGATGAGTGATTGCCCTCCTGATGTGAGTACCCTTTTCTCAGCTTCTTTCTCTGTTGTTCTTTACTGCTGGTGCTGGAGCTCCGTTTTGCTCGAAAATTGCAGTCTTGTGTAGTAGAATTCATTGTACGGTTAGAGAATATGGCACATCGAGGAGTTGAAAAAGCCAAATTGTTTCGCTAATTGGAACAATAAGTGGGAATCTTATAGCTTTCTCTGTGTTTGATCTTGTGGGTATGCGATTTGGATGTGAAATTAATGTTCTTTGATTGCCAATTAGCAAATCTGTAATACCATGGGGGTTTTTGGTTTCTTAAAATTACAGCTCTATGCTCGCCTGGCTGCCACTGTGGATTCTGAAAAATTCTTGAGCCAGCTTAAATCCCTCCAAGAAGCAACCAGAAATGGAGCTGCTCCTGGATTCCCATTCAAGGAGGCTACAGGTATCACTACATATGCCACTTAGGGTTTATTTCAGTTCCTTTGCGAGGATACTTTATGTCTTTTGATACTTATTGAGGTGCTCTCCTGTTTCCTTTAATCAGGTGATGACTTGCACACTGTTGAAGTTCTTATTAAGGTTGACCAAGAAGAACCGAGTAGGTGGGTATGGGTCACGGAAGAAATGATTCATGGCAATACTGAAGAACATAGTGGAATAGATAATGAGTGCTACGTGGTCATCAACGAGGATCAGGTGATTGATGCAGTTGCTACCTTTATGGCTAAGTGCATAACTGCAAACCCAAAATCTCAGGTATCTATCAAGCTATCGAGGCATCTTGATGTTGCTTTTATAACATGCTGTATCTTACAAGGGTTTCCCTACTTGGAAATGCAGAAATTTTCCCCTGAGGCTCTCCAGAAAGGTGAGTTATCAGACACACTTCATCATTACCTTGGAAGTATTCTCTGAAAACCTGACCAGTGTTGGATTTGTTATGACTGTAAATCTAATAGTACTTATGAGTATTGAGGATTATCTTAGAGCCCCGACTTCCCTAAATCAATTTCCTGCTGGTTTTCGATTTATGAGGAAATCATAGTTGGAGACTTCCATACACAAAGTACTCATATTGCGAGCTTGTGAATTTTCAGCCATTACACAAGCTCTCGGCGGTGGTGGTGTTAGCAAATTTGAGAGAGCAATGGATATTTGGCATGCCTGGCAGCTGTTCTATGCCCTTTCGACCTGGGGAATTGCATTGGCAGGGTGAGTACTTGTGCTTATGTTCTCAGAATGACATTCTTAACTCATTAAACTTTAGTCGTCATTGCTCAAACACACAATCACTTCTAAATGAACCTCATAAATGCAAGAACTTTCTACTTTAGATCCTTGTTTGTGATACTCTGGTGTGGTCCAAGTTTTGCAATTTCCTAGCACTTAGTGCACATCTGGTTTCATGGATTAAGATTATAAGCAGGGAGCTTTGCTGAATAAAGTTTATGGCTGTGCTATATTGGATTATGCAGTTTATACAAGACTCGGGCTGTGTGGAAATATGCTGCCGTGGGTGTTCACAAAACCAGCAAGGTTGTCCTCAGGGCTTTGTGAATCAGAGGAAAGACTTATTGTGTGATGTAAATATAACAAATTTGTGTGGGGAGGTTTATGTCTAAATGTCGAAATATCCATGTGATTGTTCAAGCTCTTCCCAATTGTAGATACGTTATCTGTAAATATTAGCGGGAGATGGCAATCACAACATTTGTGATATTTCAGTCATTGTTTGATTGGATTGGACAAGAGATCAAAGGAATATTTCCAGTTACAAACGTTACTATGACTCCCAAAATTGAGCTTCAACAATAGATCAAAAGTAGCCAGCAGAAAATGGATGAGGAATTGTGAATGTTAGTTCTTGGGGCTACTTCCACTTTGAGCATTCACATGGCTGCTTCCAGCTCCAGCAATAGAGAGGAGAACTGAGTTTCGTGGAAGCTCTAACGGCGTTCTTATTTCTGCTCCAGAAAATCTGCAAGTCTTTCTGGGTGAATCCGGATGTCAACATCTCATCTGGCTCATCAGGTGTGGTTTCAGGTAGATTGACAAACTGTTAAAAAGACATCGAGAATTTATTACTAAAACGTCAAATGACTGAGTTGCAAACAAAGAAAAGAATGGCATGCTTACTTTGAGACTGAGCTTCTAACAAGATTTTTAAGATCTACGATTCTGAGGCCTTTCTCTTGCGATCTGATGTAGCATCTGACTGAGCCTTACCAAAGACTGACCTGTACCACACCAGTAGTCTAGATGATAAGATGTAGAGCCAATATCTATATCTATATCTATCTATCTATATCTATACTATATATTATGGCAATTAAAAAAAAATTCTTGCCACATAAGCACTTGGAGGATCCACAACTTGCCAAGTTGGACTACTTTGTTACAAACAAAAAATTAGTTATTAATGTATTTATGTAGCTACCTCTCTCTTCTTTAATATTTTCATTTCTTATATCCATTTATTCTTTTTCATTTATCCATTTATTCTTTTTTGTCTTTAATAATAAGTTACATGTTGATAAACTTAACCAAACACACATAAAAAATAATTTTTTGTTAAATAAACAAAATATAAATAAGAAAACAGAGAGTGACATATATCACATTTGTTTAAATAAAAAAAATATCTGATTAAATTTATGAAGTAAATTTTCTACTCATTTTTACTAAAATTGAATGATAAGTTACATTTTGATGAAAAAATTAAACAAAAATACACGTAAAAAATTATGTTTTAATCGATTAAACCAAAATATATATGAAAAGAGAGAAAATAAACATTTGACATTCAATTACCCTTGAAAAATAAACTATATTACTTTATATTTTGTTGCAATGAAACACTCTCTTATTCGTACAGTATATATCTATAAAATAAAATAAGTATTATTTAGAAAAATGTCAGAGTATAATCTTCATTGAGTAATTACAGTTATTTATTTAAGAAAACTTCTTATTCATTCGGATCATGTTCTACCTTAAATTTCTCAAATGAAGAGGAATCGCATGTGGAATAATTTGATAATGTGTCCTAAGTTCACATTAATAATATTTGCTCTATATCATTTTGATTAAGCAAGCTCTATTGAGGTTCTAAGTCGTATGCTAAGAAATTTTCTTTTAGACTTGGAGTTATCGTCGACGATTATAAATCAAAATTTTCAAAATGACTTAAGTATGATTGTTGACGAACTTTGACTTCATACCCTAGGATGAGACACAAGATTCCTTGAAAAATAATAGATGTGAATGTTAGAAAAATCTTTGTTGAGAATCTACGATAAACATCATGTTTCATCAACTACTAACCTAGGCATTTACCAAATAAAGGTTGGCAATTTTTAGTAAGATAGTCAATTGGGATAAACATATTTATCCAGCAATCAGGTATCTTTATCCAATAATCTCAACTCTCAAAATTGGTTGCCAGTTCGTTCAAACTCGAGAAACACGAATTGATATATGTTGTATAAGATAATAAGTTAATGCAAATAATCATATGAAATCCACTGATATTGTTCAAATGATAAGACATTTTAAATGCACATGAAATATGTGTGTATTGGAGACACTCTTTATCAATTATTAATATATAAGTGATAAAATATTTAAAAATTACACATTCAACGACCATGTTAAGACCAAAATCATCGATAGTGTGTGTGAGTGCCTTAGATTCAGATTCTAAGCCAACATATAAACAATGACCACTAGTTGAGGTTTAGTATAGGCTTCAAGAATTAACATGTATGCATAATAATATACATGTATTGATGACAATAAATAGATGCATTGTTATCAATGCATGCATAATAATATACATGTATATAAGAAAATCGGTGTATTGTAGTTTGCATCGTTTGGTTTATGTAATAATTATTGTGTTATTTAAATAAGTTATCTTACTTTTTGGGTGAAATATCACTTTTACCCTTTGTTTGCAATATAAAAAAGCAAGACACGTAAAAAGGTAGGGACAAAATTTGAAGAAAATACACAACAATCTCAATCAAACAATCTCAAAACTTGAGATTTAACTATCACTCATTTTGAGTGATAGTTTGTGTCACATCAAGCAAGCAATGCATGTATTGTTTGTGCCGAAAATTCAGAAAAACGATGCATTGTGGACAATACATGTATTGTAACTATCTCAACCAAACAATCACCAAAACCAAACGACCCCTAAATTTAAGTGTCTGGATAAAAAAAAAACAAACATCCAAAATGGAAATTAGTGGAGATTAGAGAATTTAGTCATCACGAGGGCTACGGTGTGTGTCAAATTTCAATATGGATGAATAAATCCAATAGTGAAGTATCTTTTTTAAGAATTTCTCACTAAAAAGTCCTAATCTTTACAACATTGGTCGAGAGTTCGTCCAAACTCGAGGATCATGAATGTGTATTGGATTTTCAAAGGACCTAAAATCCCAATCCCTTTCGAGGGCTAAATACCTCTGATCACAACCATAGGTGCTAAAGTAGAATGAAAAGAATCCCAAAAAAAGCAAAAAAAGAACATAACTTCCGATACGATGAACATAATAAAACCATATCGAGCTATGATCCTGTCATCCCTACCCTTTTATTCTCCATAAAGGGGGCGGCGGGAGAAGATAAGAAATAAATAGTAGGATCTTAGTATTTTCCTCTTTGTATATTACATATCGAACGATAGACAACCCCAATGGTTGTCTGGCGTTATGGGGGTAAAAGCGAGATCTCTAGATAATTTTGAGTCTAATATATATACACACACAGAGATATATACATGTATATGTAATATCAAAGTATACTATACTTTTTATTTGGGTTAATATTTTCGTATGGCCTGAACTTTGACCAAAATAAACATCCTGGCCAATCTTTTCGATCTATAACATCCTGGCCCGAACTATGCACCAAAATAAACAATTTGGCCAGATCCGACTTTTGACCGTTAACTTGGACGGTCAAACGCGTTGACCGTTAGTCAACGCGCCATGTCACTGCCAAGTCAGCATAGAATATTTAAAATAATTCACAATTTCCACACATTCCCTAATTTTAAATTATTATAAATTTAAAAAAATCATCTAATACCTTAGTTAAACCAAAAATAAAAAACGAAAAAAATTAAATATTTATCAGATCTTCTGACTTGGCAGTGATGCGGCGCGTTGACCGTTAGTCAACACATTTGACCGTCCAAGTTAACGGTCAAACATCGGGTTTGGCCAAATTGTTTATTTTGGTGTATAGTTCGGGCCAGGATGTTATAGATCGAAAAGATTGGATAGGATGTTTATTTTGGTCAAAGTTCAGGCCATACGAAAATATTAACCCTTTTTATTTTACTCAAGATACGATATAAGATAGGTATTACGAAATATGTGCATAAATTAGAGGTTACAGAATTAGGGACTGGAGTTCACCTATTAGAGGTTAGGGTATAGTATCATGCCCCAAAAAACTCCGGTTAATTTGGGTCTAAATAGTAAAACTCAATGGTCGTATGGTAGTATGAACGCAAGAGTATAGCGTACTCCTGGCGCACGCTAGCTTGAACTATATATGTGTGTGTGTGGTTTAGGTTGGCGTACGCTAAATATTAGTGTTTTGGTTGACAAATTTTGACATAAGTTCTAAATGGGACGTGACAGCGGCATAATTTATGATTAGAAAACCGAAGCATCACAAGTGAGTGTGCTAAATATTCGATATTTCAATATAGACATACTACAAACTCAGTTACAAAATATTTAGAAGATCCAAAATAATTTAAACATATAAATTATAAAATAAATCTCCCCGCCAACAGGCCGGGTAAAAAACTAGTACCAAAAATAATGATAGTCAAGACATCTCTCAACGGCAAAGAATGTCTCATATCATACATAGATCAGTAGGAGAAGACCAAGGAAAGTACTTACCCACAAGTTGAACATTTATCATGATGCTTACAGAATATCGACAAGCAAACAGAACATACATAGCCCATATCGATTGTTTTTTATGGCAAAAACATCTGCAGTAACTCATAGGTTAGTTGCTGCTTCGTAATTAGAAATCAATGCAGCAAAAACTGCCATCTCTGGGGCCAGCTTGTTGCGTATGATATGCAAAACAGATAGGTCTTCAGTTTGATGGTTGGTAGGAAAAGAGAAAGGAAGAGAACAAATCAATGCGGCAAAAGAAATGTACTGAAAAGGGAAAGAACAAAATAAAACCACACTCACGAAGCACGGAAATCTACACCAGCTGGCCTAGGCAGTTGTAAGAAGCTTCTCGAGTGCAAGTCGACTGCAAACACAATCTGCAAAGATAATGAGAATGTGATACCGAGCCAGTAGTTTCAACTTTCAACCAAGTCCATCTGTAATTCTGCATGGCTTGTCACTATTGCAAAGTAACACATAACCTCTATAAGAAAGGAAAAAGTGACATACCGCTAAGTATTGCTACAACCCTTCCAAATGTTGGGGCTTAACATATACACCTCCTGTTATGTATGAAGCCTGTCAAGACAATGATCGATCAGATATCAATAACTACCTCCATCAGCAAAAGAACATCATGCAGAAGGATTTACTACCTGCTGCAAGAAGGCAGAATTATGTGAACCAACATAACAACAATCTATTGGCACCTACAGCAGTGGCAATTAACAGTGTTTAAGTCATTCCCAACATGGAGAAAAGAGGATATATCTCCGATGTCGAACTTTGACAAGATGAAGTCCGATTCCGAAGTAGAAAAAAACTCACAGCCAAACAAAAGTAGACACAACCATAAAATAATTTGAATAAGAAAAAAATTACTGCATTGTAGTACCATTGAGCGCTGTGCAGAGAAAATTGCATTCATTGTTGACACATATCTGGACTACGAAGAAAAAGGTGATAGTGAGATCCAATTATCCAAAGGGAAAGAAAACACAAGCGACTTGAAAGAATAAAGAACGCACTGCTCAGATCCATCGGGAGATCCCTGCAAACACAAAATATGCACTTGTCTATCAGAGCCATGGCAAAAGGAAATAAAAAAACATTGCAACAGGGTATATGCAACCATAAAAGGCAAAAATAAACAATAACTAATTCCTCATGAATTTCAACCAATATTCTAGGGGATGCTGCTCCCCTTATTCATCATGAGTTTTAACATCAATGAGCAGCCAAAAATGACCTCGGAAAAAATTAGTTCAAATCGATGCTTAATATACTTAATCATTAGTGAAGTAGCATTCAGGCCGAATCTGTGAATTGTAGCCTTCAAAATCTAAGAAAAATGGAATTTCCAAAAATTGCTAAAAATTTACCAAAATGCCCTCTGAAAAATTTCCGACCAAACCGATGCTTAATAGACTTAATCATTGGTGGAGAATAGCCTCATGCCGAATCCGTGATCTATAGCTTTCAAAATCTCAGGAAAATGACCTTTCGAAAAAGCGGCTGAAATCTATGATGGTGCCCATTTGAAATCTGCCAAAAATAACACCGGAAAAAATTCTCCTAAATCGGTGCTTAATAAGCTTAATCATCGGTGAAGATTAGCCTCAGACCGAATATATGATATGTAGTCTTCAAAATCCAAATAAAATGATATTTCAAAAAAATAAAAATTCAAAAAATGCCCTCTATAAAAATTCACAAAAATTGACGGTTAATAGACTTTATCATTAGTGAAAAATAGTCTAAATTCGAAGTCGTAAACTGTAGGCTTCAAAATATAAGGAAAATAGTCTTTCGATAAAATCGCTCGAAATCAATGTCAAAATCATTGGTGGAGAATAGTGTCTGACCGAATCCGTGATTTATATCTTTTAAACCCCAAAAAATGGTATTTCGAAAAAATCGCCCGAAATTTTTAATGATACCCCTTTGGAATATGCTAAAAATGGCCTCAGAAAAAATCTATCAAAATCGATGCTTGATAGACTTAATCATCGATGAAGAATATCGTTAATCCGATTTCATTACTTATAGCCTTACAAATAAAAAAAAAATGATATTTTAAAAAAGTCTCTCAAAATTTGTGATGATATCTTTTTGAAATTTGCCAGATTCGACCAAAATTTTCTTCTCCTTAATAGACTTTTAATTACAAGGATGTCAATGGCTTCAATCGACATTTGATTCTCTGACCTGCTTTTCCATAATGCCCCTTCTTATAGGAGCGGAAATAAGAAAAAAAATCAGAACCGGCTGAATACACCGCCGCCGATGGCAGCGAAATCGAAGGGAACACAGACAGAGCCACAACGCGCGGTGACTCTCCAGGGACCAACTTCCACTATAAGCACATCAACTGACGAGGTTGGAAGGGTCGGGTTTGATTTGAGTGAGGAGGAGAAGTTTGCAGATTTACGTGTCCTTGAGCAACGAGGCGGCGACTATGGCTTTACTTAGCCTCCCCCGCGAGGTTGCTAAGAAGAAGAAGTTCCAGTGGCGAATGTCAAGGAGAGTGAGAAAGAGAAGGAGATCGTCTTGGATGCGGATTTGGTGAGGAGGTGAAGTAGGAACTTATGGCGGTGGTATATCCGGCGGATCCGCCGCCTCCTTTGTTGTTGGTGGATCTGCCGTCTCCATTTATGCCCACTCCTTCACCTCCATCGTTGCCATCGTCGTTGCCCACGAATAGATGCTCAATCAGGAGTCCGATTGGATTCGAGGAGAAGTGTTTGCTGGGAGGAAGAAATGGAAGGAGATGAAATATTTTTTAATTTAAAATTAATTTTTTAATTGCCACATCATTAAACTAACGGTCAAAGGACTAAGTTGACTGCCACGTAGGATGATTTTAACGAAATTGGACGGCCGGTGCCAACGGTAACGATTTGTTAATGACAAATAAGAAAGAAAAATAATTTGGGTGGCAAACGTGAAATATATATGTAATTCGAGTGACCAAACATGTAATTTAACACAGGATAACTATCCCTGTCAAATTCGCATTGTTGAGACACACGCCACTCTAATCAATCGTCCGATTCGGAACAAAACTAGGCTGAAAATTGAACGTACTGATACCCAGCGACGGCGATGGTAGGTTCCAAAGCTGCGATTGAGGTGGCGAAGACGGTCATCGAGGTGGCCGACGTGGCGTGGACGGCCATGGAGTTCGGCCACCACCACCATCTCCACACCCACGATCAAGAAGAGACCGGTACGCAGGCCAAAGCCGCGGAATCTATGTCGGTAGATGAAGAATTGGTAGCCCTGAGATCCGAGAATCGGCGGTTGAAGAGCTTGCTCGAGCACAATCTCAAGCTCCTCCAGAATTTGTCAGAATCGCCTCCTTTGATGAGTGATTGCCCTCCTGATGTGAGTACCCTTTTCTCAGCTTCTTTCTCTGATGTTCTTTACTGCTGGAGCTGGAGTTCCGTTTTGCTCGAAAATTGCAGTCTTGTGTAGTAGAATTCATTGTACTGTTAGAGAATATGGCACATCGAGGAGTTGAAAAAGCCAAACTTGTTTCGCTAATTAGGACAATTAGTGGAAATCTTATAGCTTTCTCTGTGTTTGATCTTGTGGGTATGCGATTTGAGATTTGAAATTAATGTTCTTTGATTGCTAATTAGCAGAACTGTAATGTCATCGGGTTTTTGGTTCCTTAAACTACAGCTCTATGCTCGCCTGGCTGCCACTGTGGATTCTGAAAAATTCTTGAGCCAGCTTAAATCCCTCCAAGAGGCAACCAGAAATGGAGCTACTCCTGGATTCCCATTCAAGGAGGCTACAGGTATCTTTACATATGCCACTTAGGGTTTATTTCAGTTCCTTTGTGAGGATACTTTATGTCTTTTGATACTTATTGAGGTGCTCTCCTGTTTCCTTTGATCAGGTGATGACTTGCACACTGTGGAAGTTCTTATTAAGGTTGACCAAGAAGAACCGAGTAGGTGGGTATGGGTCACTGAAGAAATGATTCATGGCAATACTGAAGAACACAGTGGGATAGATAATGAGTGCTATGTGGTCATCAATGAGGATCAGGTGGTTGATGCAGTTGCTACCTTTATGGCTAAGTGCATAACTGCAAACCCAAAATCTCAGGTATCTCACTATCAAGCTATCGAAGCATCTTGATTTTGCTTTTATAACATGATGTATCTTACAAGAGTCCCCTGCTTGGAAATGCAGAAACTTTCTCCCGAGGCTCTCCAGAAAGGTGAGTTATCAGCCACACTCCATCAAAGGGTTTATGACTGTAAATCTCTGAAGAGCTAACAATGATATTGATCATATACTAAAAGGGTTTATGACTGTAAATCTAATAGAAGTAGTCATGCGTATTGATAATACCTTAGAGCCTCAGACTGCCCGAAATCAATTTCCTACTAGTTTTTTTTTATGAGGAAATAATATTTGGAGGCTTCCATCCACAAAGTACTGATACTGTGAGCTTGTGAATTTGCAGCCATTACAGAAGCATTAGGCGGTGGTGGTGTTAGCAAATTTGAGAGAGCAATGGGTATTTGGCATGCGTGGCAGCTGTTTTATGCTCTTTCGACCTGGGGAATTGCATTGGCAGGGTGAGTACGTTTGCTTATGTTCTCAGAATGACATTCTTAACTCAGTAATTCATCTAGACTTGTCGTCAATTGCTCAAACACACAATCACTTCTAAATGAACTTCGTAATGCAAGAACTTTCAACTTTAGTTCCTTGTTTGTGGTGTTTTGGTGCGATCCAAGTTTTTCAATTTTGTTTTGCTTGGTGCACGTCTGGTTTCATGGATTAATATTAAAAGCAGGGAGCTTTACTGAATCAGTTTATGGCTGTGCTATGTTGGATGATGCAGTTTGTACAAGACTCGGGCTGTGTGGAAATATGCTGCCGTGGGTGTTCACAAAACCAGCAAAGTTGTCCTCAGGGCTCTGTGAATCAGAGGACCAGACTTCTTGTGTGATGTAAATATAACGAATTTGCATGGGGAGCTTTATGTCGCGATTTCGAACTATGTGATTGTTCAAGCTCTTCTCAATTGTATATATGTTCTCTGTAAATATTAGTGGGAGATGGTGTTCACAACATTGTCATATTTCAGTTCCTTGTTTGATTGGATTGGACAACAGATCAAAGTAACATTTCCGGTTACAAACTTTGCTATCACTATCAAAATTCAGCTTCAACAAGAGATCAAAGGAAGCCCTCCAAAAATAGATGAGAAATTTTGAATGGTAGTTCTTGGAGCTACTTCCACGTCGAGCATTCACATGGCTGCTTCCAGCTCCAGTAATGGAGATTGGAACTGAGTTTCGTGGAAGCTCTAAGTGCGTTCTTATTTCTGCTCCAGAAAAGCTGCAAGTCTTGGTGGGTGAATCCGGATGTCTACATATCTGCCTCTCCAGTTGAAGTTTCAGATAGCTTGACAAACTGTTAAAAATACACGTCGATAATTGATTACGAATAAGTCAAATGGCTCAGTTGCATTTAATTTAACAAAGCAAAGAAAGATTTGGCAAGCTGTTAAAAATACTTTGAGACTGAGCTTCTAACAAGATTTTTAAGATCTATGATTCGGAGGCCTTTCTCTTGCGATCCGATGCAGCATCTAACTGAGCCTTACCAAAGACAGACCTGATGAACAGCCAACATAGCAAAAATAATGATGTTTCAAGACATTTCTCAACTGTAACGAATGTCTCATATCGTACAGTGATCAGTAGGGGAAAACCAAGGAAACAGTAAAAGTACTTACCCACAAGTCGAACATTTGTCATGATGCTTACAGAATATTGACAAGCAAACAGAACATACATAGCCCATATCGATTGTTGTTTTATGGCAAAAACATCTGCAGTAACACAGTAGGTTAGTTGCTGCTTTGTAATTAGAAATCAATGCAGCAAAAACTGCCATCTCTGGAGCCAGCTGGTTGCGTATGATATGCAGAACAAATAGGCCTTCAATTCGATGGTTGGTACGGAAATAGAAATGAAGAGAGCAAATCAATGCAGCAAAGAAATGTATTGAAAACGGAAGGAACAAAAGAAAACCACACTCACGAAGCACGGAAATCTACACCAGCTGGCCTTGGCAGTTGTAAGAAGCTTCTCGAGTGCAAGTCGACAGCAAACACAGTCTGCAGAGACAATGAGACTGTGATACCGAGCCAGTAGTTTCAACCAATAGTTTCAACCAAGACCATTTATAGTTTCTACATGGCTTTTCACTATTGCAACGTAACACATACAACTCTATAGGAAAGGAGAACGAGACATACCGCTAAGTATTGATACAGCCCTTCCAAATGTTGGGGCTTAACATATACACCTCCTGTTATGTATGAAGCCTGTCAAGACAATGATCGATCAGATATCAATAACTACCTCCATCGGCAAAAGAATATCATGCAGAAGGATTTACTACCTGCTGCAAGAAGGCAGAATTATGGGAACCAACATAACAACAATCTATCGGCACCTGCGGCAGCGGCAATTAACAGTGTTTAAGTCAATCTCAACATGGAGAACAGAATATATCTCTGAGCAAACTTTGACAAGATGAAATCCGATTCGAAAATAGAAAAAATGCTCACAGCTAAACAAAAGTAGGCAGAACCATAAAATTATATGAATAGGAAGAGGGAAAAAATTGCCGCATTGTAGTACCATTGAGCGCTGTGCAGAGAAGATTGCATTCATTATCGACACATATCTGGATTACCAAGAAAAGGGTCAGACTGAGATCCAAAGGGAAAGAAACACAAGCGACTTGAATGAACAAAGAACGCACTGCTCAGATCCATCTGGAGATCCCTGCAAACACAATATCTGCACTTGTCTGTCAGTGCCATGGCCAAAGGAAATTAAAAAAAACATTGCAACAGGGTATATGCAACCATGAAAGGCGGAAGTAAACAATGATTAATTCCTCATGAATTTCAGTCAATATTTTGCAAGGATGCTGCTACCCATATTTATCATGAGTTTCAGCATCAATGTGCAGCCAAAGGCAGAAAAGGAAACAAAGAAAACATGCTGGACCTAAACAAGACAATCACCATTCTCACAAATGTTTCAAATATTCTCCATGACAAAAAAAAAAAAGAGAGCTCATTTGAACACAACATCACTTTGGAGGTGGTGTTAAAACATGCAGATTGATTGAAATGGAAGAAATGGAAATTGCCAATGCAAGCTAGAACAGTGGACAGTCTTTAGCATTCTATACAATGCACATCATTAAGCATGTAAGAAAAGCTAACATAATGCACGGATGTGCGTACTCACTCGAGGCTGTGGATGGAGTGGCCCAGACCGGAAAACCCTTTGTATATCTAACCAAGAGTCAAGTTGAACGAAATAAGCCTGTTTATGAACTACTCGCACTCATAACCACATCTAGCACACACAAGACCAGAAGTCTATGAATCCATTTAGACATTCAAATTCTACAAAACAAAGAACGCGAAATGCGAAAGACTGAACATCAAGAAACCCTGAAAAACCCGAAAACCAAAACTACTCAAAAAGGATACAACAGAGTGCCATCGACAGCGAACCAGACAGCAACGAAGACGCCCTCTTCTCTGATAAACCTTCCTGCTTGGCCCCCAACTTCTCGTCCTTGTTCACGAACTCCTCCAATCTCTGCAATACAAATGAGTACAAAGCAGGCAATTCGCCTTCCCCCGTGACCTGATCCGTATCCAACGACGAGTCATAAATGTAATCACAGGTATTATGCCCAGTAGCAATGACCACGATTTGATTCAGTTGGCTCAGTCGCACAATTAAATCGAGAAAAACCAGCACCTGAAAGGGAAAATGTACAACAGTATAACCAAGTTTTTTCAGCAGGATGAAGGCCAATCAGAAAGGGCTAGGGTTTCTTGCAAGTAAAAACCGCAGAGCGAGCGAGAGATTTACATGAGAGACGAACTGGTGGAAATTGAGAGAGGACGACGATGTGCTCCAGAAGAACGGATTGGTATCGATCAACACAACCAATAAGCTAACATCATCTGAAAACGAAATCAATGACCTAAAAAAATGAGTCGCCTAGACAATTATTGTGCCCGTTAAGTCGGATATTGAATGGGGAAAAAAGTACAGATCATGAAAATTGACTGTGAGTCAACCCTGTTAGAGCAAGAAGTTCACCGGCGATTGGCTTGGAAGGAAGCGTAGCCATGGCCGACGACGACGGTGGACTGATTGAAGTCCCGTAGAAGTTTTCCGCGGGAATGCGGAGGAAGAAGGAAGCTCCTTGGCCAAACTAGTAGTGACGACCAGTGGGCCAGCTACGAGCCTAGATTCAATAGCTCCCTCTTTCAACATTTTCCGAGACTTTGGGCCTCCGAACTCTGAGCCCAAAATAAGATGCCCAAAATAAAAAGGGTTAAAAGCCCATCCATGGTCTTGACTACATCATGGCCCAGCATAATGTTGCGTGCCTCTACAAGCATGTGTTCCTCGCCACTCTTCTCTAGATATGATCAGAGCCGAGAAATTAACTAAGGCACTATTTAGTATTGTTGCTTGTTTTTGTTGTCTGTTGTGTTTTATGAAATTTGGAAAACCAAGAAAAAAAATCGTGTTTAGTTGGATTTTTATTTTATGTTGTGAATCAGAGTTGCACAACAAGGCCCAAATATGAGAAACAACAATTTATTGCTTTGGATCTGATTCTTAAACATGTTGCACACCGGATTCCTACTGGTTGGGCGCTTGATTTCATTAAACCAGTCCAGTTTTCGAATCCCCACAGAAGCAATTTTTTTTAACACATAGGAACAAACCTCAAACCCTACTTCAACATAACAGCCCCCAACCCTTCCATTTTCTCAAAACAGAGTAGCACATCCCCCTCTGCGCCGCCCGCCTCACCTCCGCCTCCCCACCTACGGGCCGCGTCACCGCCCGCCCAGCCTCCCCGCCAGCTCCGCCTCCGCGCCCTGACCCCTCTGCCTCCGCCTTCGCGCTGCGCCGCCTCACCTCCGCCTCCCCGCCTCCGCTCCGCGCCCCCCTGCTCGACAACCGCCATCCCGCCAGCCCAGCAACCGTCGCCCGCCCGCACGCCCAGCCGCCGACGCCCGCCCGCCCAGCCGCCGACGCCCGCCCGCCCTGCTGCCGCTAGTCTCACCGCCGCCAGTCTCTTTTTTCTGGTTTTTAGTTCTTATAGTAGTAACTAAACACGTTTTTGTTTCTTGTTGTCAGCTTTCATGATTTTTCATATTTATCAACTAAACAGGTTTGTGTTTTCTGTTTTTTTCCTGTTGTGGTTGTACATCTATTTACACAACACCACTGCAACTACAACAGCAACAAAATGATACTAAACGGGCCCTAAAATGTGATACCCTATCGTCAAAATGTCTCAATTATTTCACTCGCCAAAACGAACATTCTATCCCAATAACTTGTTTTGAAATATTTTTTATGAATTTTGTTTTGAGACATTACCGCTTCTGTGATTGTCGTGATTGTTAGTATACTGGTATTCTTCATAATACATTGTTTTCTGATTTTTGTTATCTATAACTGTTTCTATGATGTAACATAAATTATCACTCAAAATGAGTGATTGTTATATTTCAATTTTAAGCTGAGAAGTTGAGTTGAGATTGTTACATCTCAATTTTGACTTATGTGACATACACAATCACACATGTTAAACGTTGTATTTTAAAAATGCATCAAATTCATCAACACATGAATAATATTGTACATGTATTCACCACTACACATCTATTTAACAATTGCACCTTCCAAACGACCCATACTTGTAACATACCTCATGCAAACTATCCAGTAATGAAAATTTATTTCGAACCATAAATTTGCACAAACTCGATATATATATTTTCCTAAATGAAATTAAATATCAATACGGCCAAGGACTGAAACACAAGATCTCTCGATCAAATTATCTAACACCATGCCAAGAACAACCTCATCTCAATAACTCGAATGTGTAAACATGTCAAAGTCCAAAGACTTGGAAACAACCCCGGTGAGAAGGTGAGATTTCTCCTCTCTTTGGCACGATAATAAAGCCTTTGAAAACGAGACAATTCTTGTACGCATCATCAATGATAGTACTATAAAGTACTAGTGTTCGCGTTTTAGGTGAGGAATTAACCAGGGAAAACGTTAATGAGAGAAGGACACGAGTTTACCTAATAGTCGGTTTCAGTACTAGTCCTCCATCGACACATTTTTCTGTTGTGTGTAGTGTATCTTACAAGAAGAATAGAATAGAATAGAACAGGCATGTGGAGTTTCTGGTAGCAGTCTGATGCAGATAAGCGACAGAAGGCAAAGGGAATTGATCATTGACGAAATCCAGGTAGATGTCAAACAAGGCGTGTTGATGTTGTTTAACACGGCTTGTTGGCATGATGGATTTGCGCGGTCTAGTTAGCGAACGATTAAATATACGATGGTGGTCTGCATTTTGTTGTTCATAGTAGAGCTGTAATAAATGAGCCAATTTGAATCGAGTTTTGATCTAAATTGGGCTCGACTCTCGATAAAACGGGTCGGGTTCGAGCTCGGCTTGTATTTGGCTGGAGCTCGACTCATTAACAAGCTCACAAGCTCTACTTGAGCTCGGTAGATAAGGTATCATGTC